TTATTAATAAGTCTTGAAGTATAAGTTTAAAATATTATAAACTTGAGTTTCTTCTTCTCCTTCTTCTTTTTATAAATATTATTCTTATCTTGTCTATAAATCGTCCTGCAGCTATCAAGCATTGCACTAATCGTCCATGTGTTTAAGAACGGTGACAATATTCATTGTCTTTTATTTTTGGTTTATCCATTTGGATATGTCGTGTTGTAAATTGTTATATGGCGGCTGTCGCCCAAGTCGTCGTCTTTGCCTTTTAAATGTATTTGTATTTATTTGTAATGTAGTTGTATAGTTTTGTAATGTATAAATGTATTTGTCAGGCGGCTGTCGCCCAAAAGTATACGTATTTGTATTGTTTTGTAATGTAGTTTTGTAGTTGTCTGGCGGCTGTCGCCCAAATGTATAAGTATTTGTTTTTTTTATTTTTTTTTATTGTATAAGTAAATATTTTTCATAATCCTCCTAAGTTTTGTCGTGTAATCATCTATCTCCTAGCTTCATTTTACGTCTTAATTTAGTATTGAAGTCGTAAGCTTTTAGTAATGGGTACAATAGCGATACATTAAGTAATTTGTTACCAATGTATTCGATGTAAAACCCTGGACCAATCTTCTCAATACTATAAGTTTCTACCGCTATCGTAGTACAAAAAAATTGAAATATTAATAAAAGTGTAAACATGATATTAAATGTCTTTAGTTTCCTATTACACTTGTGATAACAAATTCTTGCCAAATTATTTGAAATCACTGTTTGTTTATTGTTTGTATCGTCATTGTTTAAAGTCGCTTTTTGTGGAATCTCTTCCGGTTCCAAAAATTTAGTTAAATGTTTTACTTCTTCTGTGCGTGTTGTACAACTAAGTACCTTTATTCCATTGTTTTTGTTTCTGGAACAAAATCCTGATAGTATCCACCCAAATTCCGTGTCTTGAGCAAGTATACCGTCTTCTAGTTTTTCAAACCCCTTTAAAAGGATTTTGCTGTATTCCTGAGCACCTAATATTATGTCTATCGGCCCTTTTTTATAATAAGTCGGGTCTGCAATCACTTTATTTTTTAACCAAAGCGATTGTATTTGTTGTACGTCATTACTTGGTAGTGAAGATGTAAGTTTTGGTAATACAACCAGTGATACAGGTAATTTATAATCACTAGAAAGTCTTGGTCGTAATGTTATATCTATACTGTAGCTCGATTGTTTCGGTTCTTCATCCCCGATTCCCTTGATGTCAGCACAGATTTTTTTCTTTGGGTATGCCAATAATTGCGCCACTTCTTCTGTGCAAAAGGACGACTCCGACCCTTGATCACATAAAACTCGCAATAAATGTGGCATGCCGTCGTATGAAGTAGTCTGTACCATAGCTGTGGCTAATAGTACGGTATTATTTGTATGTTTTAATGTGCCAGAAACATTCGATGTTATATTACTCATCACATTAGTTGTTAAATTTTCTGTATGCAGGTTCGTGCATGATATTTTGTCTTTTGGTTCAAAAAAGTTGTTTCGTCGGTTTGTCTACATGAAGTAACGTATTATGGTCAGGTCGTTGACATGTTTCGCAGTTCTTAAATTTCTCTGTCACACATTGTTTTGATGCGATATGGTTTAAACAGCGTCGGCACATATTTTTATTGTGAACAACATTATTTCGCTGAATTGCGTTCATTGTTATAAATCGGGAGCAATAATTAATTGTATGTCCATCGATGTCACAATACCAACAATATTTACGTTTTGGTTCATTGTACTGGGTCAGATCGAAATTTAAATTTCTATTCGTTACTTGTTTATTATTATTAAATGATGTTGAGGTTTCATTTATAAACGATGTTTTGTATACAGATGTAGATGAAAAGTCCGATTTTTCAAGACTTTTGAAACGTTTTTGTAGAAATAACATCATTTGTTTGAAGTCTTGTATTTCGTTGTTATTATCGAGCTGTTCTTCGTACTTAGTGTTGGTTTCGTCATCCCATTTACGACTTAGTAACCGACATAATATGAGATTCCATAATACTACTTCATTACCATGTTGTTTTAATAATTCTAAACATTCATTTATAGAGTCATATAATTCTTGTAAATTTTTTGTGTTCGATTTTTTAATGTTGGGTAAATCTAGTAATTTGTCAAGTAACTCCATGCTTATTCTGCGTTTGTCGTCATACCGCTCTGTCAGTAGATTCCACGCGGTGACATAATTAACTTCGCTAATCGGTAAATATTGTATTATTTTTGCCGCGTCTCCTTGCACGTGACTTTTTAAATATTGCATTTTTTCGCAACTGGATATCGTGTTATCTTCATGAATAATTTTTGTAAATAAATCTTTGAATATTCCCCATGAGTCGTATTTTCCGGAAAATATCGGTATCTTTATCTGAGGTAGTTTCCCAGACCTTGATGATGTCGAAATAAAGGTGGAATGAATTCTTTCTTGAATTAATTCTACACTAGTCTCATACTGGCCTTGTATTGTCTCATAGATGTTATTTGAAAAATATTCATGATCGAGTGAACTTTCGCTAATTAAAAGTTCTTCGTGCATTGACTCAATTTGTTTCCACTGATTTTGTAAGCTCTGTAGGTTGGATTGTAAGAACCAATTAGGTTTGTTCTCCTCAATTGCAGTTTGTACTTGGTTAATTTTATTTTTTAATTGATTCATCCTGAACTGTTGAATTTTATACTTGCTACTGTCGTATGTCTTAAATGATGTTGAAGGGTGAAAAATATCGTGCACTTCCTGTAGTTTTTTCTCGTCTTTATCTAGTTGTTCCATTGCAGCATCATATATTTGTTTAATATTTTTTTCGAAGTAGTTAGTTTTAATGTAATCATGTGATGAGAGAATGTCCTGTTTTGTTTTCAAAATATCATTATTATTTCTTGCTCGTGAAAAAATGTTTTTAAATAACAGTCGTCTTTCTTGTAAGTAACTCCCAGTCTTCCTCGAACTAGAATCCTTTCTTAGGTTATTGAATAGTCGTTTTATTTCTAGGCTGTCACTCTCCTGACTTTGTATTAATGTATTAATTTCTTGTATATCCATTTCGTCTTTTATGTAAGTCTTCTTTTGTTCAAAATATCTTCTTCCCTATCCTAACCCTAGCCAACTAACTAAGTACTGCGCGTATCTGCGCCCTCAGTACGGTATATGCGACTTCTCAAAACACTGGTGAGATCCGCTGGTGGAAGGCCAGTGACCGATCCGCTACCGCAAGAGTGCTTTCCAACAGAATACACTTAGTACAACTACGTACTCAAGATCACCACAAACTAATGCAATTGGGGTTCACCAGCCTGTGGGTCACTCAAGCGTTAGTCCCTACGGGGAAAGGGAGGAATCGCGTAGTTCAATTTTTCTTTCGAAGGACCAATGAACAGCTTGCTAGTTAGTGGACTGTGAAAAGTGTGTTTAAGATTTATATGTATTTAATGACAGGAGTATCTGAATAGTAAATGTAATGTATGTATAAGCAAGCTGCACTAAATGACTAAATATATGAGAGGGTGAGACGTAAGAACCTAACAACCCTACGGATCCCTAAGCCCTACAGACGTACCCTAACACATAAATAGTGAATATATAAATATATAAATAAGTACGGGATGTCTGCACCAAGAGACCTAAGATAACAGACGGAGCCCTACGGGTAGGATCAAAGGTTCGAGGTAGTGGGATTATCTCAAAGCTACCGGGCAGGCTCACCACGATAATTAAGGGCTTGAAGTAGTCTTCGCCACTTTGAGAGGAAGCGAGAAATGAACAAGACAAAGCAATATTCAAATCTGATTTATTGTTATAAAACAATATCTTAAATACTAATTACACCTATTCACACATACATAATATTTTCCTAGTGAGCTGTTGGTGTATCGCGCAACCTCAGCTATTAAAATATGGAACACATATGATCTGAGTCAACAGCTGATTAAAATTTAAATAAAATATAATTAAAATTGCTCTTCAGCTGTTAATATTTAGCACACATCGAATCCATGTCAGCAGTTCGTTCATGTTCAAATGATGAAATCTGAACACCATTTTTTACTACGGATCAAAAAACTGGCCCTTAGCCAAATAATACTTTTATTTTTATTGTTTTTTTTTTATTTTTATTAATGGCTATGGCACGATTTGTGCATTAGCCAGCGTCAAGTATAGGGATTTTTGAAAAATTGTGAGTGAAATTTTACGATGCGCGCGCACCTGAGACACAAAGTTGTCAGTGTGATTATAGCGTGCGCGAGCGAGATGGGAATAAGACAATCTACAAGTAAAAAGAAATAGAATATGCGTGAAGTTAGCAGCTATGCCAAGAATTTTGAATGAACATAATGACATTTACCTTTTAAACAAATAAAGGAATTTTAATTATTTTTTCAAAGAAATTTAGCAATGCTTTTTCACAAAGACCTATTGTTACTTAGTTAAAAGGTTATGAAACATACGTAGTTATTAAATTGAATGAATAATATAATAAAATAATAAATAATAATAATTATTATTATTAATATAAATTAATAATTGAATAATATACTAAATATTAAATATTATTAAATTATTAACGTTAAATATTTGTTATTAATTATTTAATTAAAAAAATAAAGAAAGCCAAAGAAGTATAACTTCTTACGCGCGTACATAAGTACATGCACTCTTTTTTTTTTATAAATCGTGCTTGTCTTTTAGCATTTCGACCGTGTCCTCCATGTACGGTTTAAGCACTCGCCCGGTACCGCACAACCCTCCCAAAGGCCGAGAACAAATTTAAATTAAATTAAAACTTGCCCTCGAACCGGGATTCGAACCCGGTACCCCTCACCTAGCTGCCACTTAATAAGACCGCTAGGCTATGAGGCCCCCCTAATATATTGTTAAAAACACTCCAACACAACCTCGCGTTTTGACAATTATTGTCAAAACTATTAAATTATTCTTTTTTCACAGATCCGCCATTTTCTAACTCGATCTGTCAAATTTTCCCGCCATGGGTGCGTCACTGCGCGTCTCGATTGTTTTACTTGGACTTTTGCTTATCACCACCTGCTATTCGGCAAGGGTGAGTATTTAAATCAATTGCCATGCTTTTAAATTCACGCAGTTAGTACATACATACATTTTTCAGATTCCAAATAATTTCGATCCACGTCTCACGGATGAGATAATAGCGCCAAAGAAGAGACCGTTCTGCAATGCTTTCACAGGTAATGTATAATTTTAATATCGAAAATATATAAAGCCTATAAAACTTTGATTAGAGAAAGTCATAACTAGTTTCTTGACTTGTTGACAAATTTAGGTGAATATTTGTATAAAAAGCTCCTTTGGCGTAGCAACAAGCACCAAGTAAGGAATTGTACTCAGGAGCTCGCCATTCCCCAGCATCGGACGGCTTCATTTCGTGGGAGTTTTAAATATAGCGCGTCGAAGTGTTGGAATGATATCCCTCCTCCGCGGAAGAGTCTTCAATCAAAGTCAAAATTTAGTCACAGCTATAAGATTCATCTACTGAGTCAACTAAAATACCACAAAATCTAGTTTTTCATCCGCCCAAAAAAAAATATTTATGTACTTAACAATTATTCTTAATATTAACATTTAATTTTATTTACTATACACCTTTACACAAGACTTCATTACTTACACTGCTAACTTTGACTAATATCATAATTTTTTGAAGTTATACTTTAGGCGCGTTATGAAAAATTAATGAGAGTGAAATTTTACGATGCGCGCGCACCGTGACACAAAATTAACAGAATGAAGTAGCCCACTAACGAATTCTTTTTAAACCAGCCGGGCGCCGAGCTTGCGCGAGCCAGATGGGAATAAGACAATTTACAAGTAAAAAGAAATAGAATATGCGTGAAGTTAGCAGCTATGCCAAGAATTTTGAATGGCCATAATGACCTTTGTAGTACCTTTTAAACAAATAAAGGAGATTTTCACGAATACCTATTGTTACTTAGTTAAAAGGTTATGAAACACACCTAGTTATTAAATTGAATGAATAATATAATGAAATAATATATAATTATTATTAATATTAATTAATAATTGAATAATATACTTAATATTAAATATAATTCAATTATTAACGTTAAATATTTATAATAAATTACTTAATATAAAAAAAATAAAGAAAGCCAAGGAAGTATAACTTCTTAAACGCGTACATAAGTGCACGCACCCTTTTTGTTTTTTCTACTAAGTATTATTACATTCCTTCTCTTTTTTTTGCGATTGAGGCCCTGTGGTCTCTGGCAGAATGACCAGCGCTGTGGAACAATCTGCTCCTCAGCATAATGCTAAGCCAGGGCCAATTACAACCACAGCACACAAGCACACTTGAAACGAACCGAAAGGGAAAATGGAAAAAAAATTGATACTCTCATTATATGTTTTACTTTTTTTTTTCTTTAATTATTATTATTATGTATGTGTACATCTTTACAAAATAATACATATAAACATACAGAATTGCAATCCCTATCCACTCCAGTTCACGGTCTACTAGAAACAAATATCCCTTTTACACGACACTGCCTCACTGTTAAACAGATTAACAAAAGCAGTGATGAAAAATTCGGTGGACATTTTTAGCAACTCCATAGGGACCTTTCGTGATGTTTTAACTTTGCTGTGTTATTTATTTGCTATTATTTTCTTTATTCCTACATAATTATGTATTTACATTCTATATTTGCGGATTGGCGGACCCATGCGACTTCAATACAAAGAGTCCCCTCGTGAGTTGTGTGGGCTACTGCTGTTGCATGGATCAGCCGTGCGATTCTGTTAATCCGTGAGTTCACCTCGCACTAACAACGCTCCCTTCGTCACTCACGTCATTTTTGGAATCTCATGGTATTCTGTTAAGCAATTTCACATTATGTCTTGACAAGCGGAGGGAGCTTGTAGTTAATTGTTTATCAGAATGCCTGCTTCACAACTGATTAGAGCGCGACCGCCGCTGCGAAAACCGCTGTGAGAGTTCGAAAAGTAAGTTACAGAATCGCAAGGCTGATCTGGCGACTTCTAAGTTCTCATGTCATTTTCACACACGTATATCCTTTCTATAACATGTTTAATATGTTATAGAAAGGATATACGTTATGATACTTCCTTTCTCCTTAATGTGATTTTACTTTGCCTCTTTAGTACGTACCAACATCGAACGTTTTGCTAAGCTACCCCAGAGACTGTTCGGTTTTCTGTAATGAAAACTTTTCAGGTTGTTCTATGAATTTTCTCTAAATAAACCTCAGAGTTGAAGTCATAATTAACAAATAAAAAATAGGGGTTGATCGTAGAGGGGTGAAAATTAAGGGTTATATGTATTTTTGTATGCTGTATCTGTAAATAAAAACAAAAAAAATTGTCTAAAAAATAAAAAATATTTTTTTCGGGTGGACACTGGACACTTATCACTTAAGGGTTTGAAGGATAGATAGTAGCCGTTTCTCAGACTTACTGAATATGCATAAAAAATTTCATAAGAATCCGTCAAGCCGTTTCGGAGGAGTATGGGAACGATAATTGTAACATGAGAATTTTATATATTAGATAGATGGTCCTTATTCTCACATGGAGAGCAAAAATAAAATAAAATATGTAAATTTTTAGTTTTGTTTTTTTTATATTTGTGAATATTCTTTGTAAATTAATTATTTCTAAGATAAAAGCCGATATGATCACTCCATGTATTTGTAGGTATATCTAGTCAAATCGCGACGGTATTTAAAGGTTTTTTTAAAAAGTAAACTTTATTAAAGAATATTACACTTGGTATTCTTAACTATAGTCGATGTTAGACCCTAATTCTAAGGTGGTCGATGTTAGACTCTAATTCTAAGGTGGTCGATGTTAGACCCTAATTCTAAGGTGGTCGATGCAAGACCCTATTACTACGGTGGTCGATATTAGACTGGCTTTAATATAATTCTATTCTTACTGCTAAAAACCCTTACATGATAACTAAGCATCGTGGTAAGCATTCGTGGTACATGATAGAATAATAAAACTAAGCATTCATCGTAGTGATTGCATTAACGCTTATGGTGCGTTCTGGGTATATGTGTGACATTGTAACTATCTATATTCACACTGTCTACATATACGTACGTATACTGTATACGTATACGTGCTAATGATAATATAAATAAATAAAAATTTAATGATTTTTTTTTAAATTCATTTCTTCGATAATAAAAACAAGTGTCATTTTAATTTACAATTCGTTATCTGAGATTTCATAAATTATTTTGCATAAAATATAAAATACCAATATTTAATAAATATAATTTCTATAAGGTACTTTACCTTTCTCACTCTCTCAATCAGTCTCAATCGCTCTCTACCTTTTCTTCGGCAAAACGCTGCACATCTTTGTGACGTTCCGTAAAAATATTACCATCATGCGCCTAAAGAAGTTTCACTTCAAAAATAAATGTCGCTACAACCTTTTTAGGTCTAGTCAGTATCTGTTTCATGGTCATTTGTCTTATAGGAAAGTAGGTGATCAAGCTCCTGTGTCTGACACACGCCGTCGTGTTGGCTCTATGGAATATGGTTTCTTCACCACACTTTCCTTCACCGTTCGAGCGAATGTTAAGTGCGCAAATAGAAAGTCCATTGGTGCACAGGATCGAACCTACGACCTCAAGGATGAGATACGCTGAAGCTAACTAACTACTCACTAACAAACTACTCAGTTAATTAAAGATTGTTTGAATCAACTATCGTAAAAAACTACACGAATTCGTTTTAAATATAATTTGCTCCATATTAATATGCTTTTCAGGATGTGGTCGCAAAAGGTCAATGAACCCTCCCGGAATGCCTCTGCAAGGAATGATGCGATCAAGACAGGTTTATTATTTTTTGTTTTGAGAGATGAGCTTAGAACTTAAACTTATAAATTCGAGACACACGAGTGAGGCAAAAGAGTAAAGACCCACTTAGTTAGTTTTTGGGTGGCACTCGGTGGATCCAGCTGCCCACTGAAGTATTTCCGAACCAATTCTTAAAAGATCAGCGACGCTCTCTAGCATTGTGAGTGTCCATGGGCGGCAGTACCACTTAACATCAGATGAGCCTCCTGTCCGTTTGCTCACTGTTATTTATAAAAAAGCCGGCAACGCACTCGCGAGCTCTCTGACATTGAGAGTGTCCATGGGCGGCAGTACCACTTAAAATCAGATGAGCCTTCTGCCCTTTTGCCCATTTGTTCTTTAAAAAAAAGGCCGGCAACACACTCGCGAGCTCTCTGTTATTGCGAGTGTCCATGGGCGGCTATATCACTTAACATCAGATGAGCCTCCTATCCGATTGCTCACTGTTATTTATAAAAAAGCCGGCAACGCACTCGCGAGCTCTCTGACATTGAGTGTCCATGGGCGGCTATATCACTTAACATCAGATGAGCCTTCTCTCCGTTTGTCCCTTTGTTCTTTGAAAAAAGGCCGGCAACGCACTTGCAAACCCTCTGTCATTGAGAGCGTCGATGGGCGGCAATATCACTTAACATTCGATGAGCCTCCTGTCCGTTAGGCCCTGTTTAATTTCATCAAATGGAACCCATCATTTGGAATCCAACAGAGGGATCTGTAAACCTTACAGCAGTTAAAACTAAAAAACATAATTTCTTTTTAAAGCGGGTTTCAGAGAACTCTAACAAAAAAACAAGAAATAAAAAAAAACAACCAGTAACCGCCTAACACTATATTATAGTATATTTTTACTAAAACATCTATTATTTATCCACAGTTTGAAGAAGACAACTACGACACAGATAACTCCTTAGAAGACCTTTCCCGCCAAATTTTATCTGAAGCAAAACTTTGGGAAGTGATACAAGAAGCCAGCGCGCAAATTGCCAGACGAAACCAAAAAGAAGCGTTACTTTAAATGTCAAATGTCAGTGGCACAGACTAATTCATTCCTGTCCCTTTCTTCTTTTGTCAATTTATTTCGTCAATATCTATAATAAATATGTTATTTTTGTGAAACCTTTGTTGGCACGACGTAAATGTTATTATAATAGACAAATTGGTAATGCATGTTGTTGTCAAATAATAACTATTTTATGTTCCCCTCAATTATGTAAGTAAACTTTCAACAATTATAATACGTAATAAAAAAATATATTCTTATGATTATTACAGTTCAGATCATATATATATATATATATATTATTTTATTATTAAATTTTTCACTTATAGAAATTAATTTACGTATTTAGACATCATTATTTGTAGAAGTAAAACCATTGTTATGTATCTTTAATTCGAATGTCTGTGTCAAAAAGAAAACAAAATGGCTGACTCCATTGGTAGATTACAGACTATGCGTCCGTAGCGTTTTTATGTAATTTTCGCGCCAAACGGCGGCAAAGAGAAAATATACTTTTATTCTTGTACTAAACTAGGAGGTGACATTGTATATATTTAAGTAATCTTGCATTCCGACATATTTTATTATCTGTGTATCACGATGTGAGACAAATAATTTCGTTCATAATCTGTACTAAAAGCAATTTTTCGAAAATTAGGTTGTCTTTATTAATAAAACTCGTACTGTTTACTCTCGTAGTTGTAAGTAATGTTAATATTGTTCAAATCGGAGAGAAATAAAGTCTTCATTGTAACTGTTTTTTTTATTCTACATTATGTACTGAAGTAGACATTCCCAATGCCGTAATAATTAAACCACTCTTATACCAGAAGAATACTTTCCGTTTAAGCACAGGGGCCGTTCAAGTATGACCTGCCCCCCATAGTGAAAATTTTGTTTCTACGAAAGTGGTGATGGAGCAAAAAATAAAATAACACAAAAAAATCTCTAAAATTTAATTTATTTCATACACAAATTATATAAATATATTGCTTATATATGTAATTCGCATCTGACCAGCCATAAGATGCGAATTGCAATTTCTATATTGTGGTTGCCATGGTAAGGAAAACAACTTTATTTTATATAGGAGACGACGAAAATACATACAAACTTCGCTATAACAAAACTATATTTATTGGTAAAAGATCTGTTCGAGCGTTCCAGAACGTGTTCACTGAGAACGCGATATCGGGGTAATGTGTGGGTAGACTTGTGCAAATTCAATCTACCCACGTATTATTGCAATTTTGAATAGCTACTTATTTTATGTTCCAACGTCATTAAAGGAATTCTCGTTTAGAAATGGCCATTTGATTACCACAACACATTAATATTGGAAATTCGTCAGTTTAAATATTAGTTTTATTCCCGCTCATCTACACCGTCAAAGAGGCCGTAGCGATCATTGGCGAACCATCTAAAACTGTCGTCTGGAAGGTTTTCTGTGAAGAATGGTGGGTTCTGTCGCTGGCCATCATAATAATGATGCATCTGAAAAAATAATTTAATTATTACACAGTACTGTATTCGATTTAATTCAAAACTGCTGCTGCTGCTTCTTCGTTTAATCAATTAGTTAATTTTCCCTCACTAGATGGCACTTGTTGCATCTAAAACGCGATATCTATGTCGCAGCCACTACCTTAATTAACCGTTCAATTAATTGCGTAGCCTTTTAACTAAACGGCGCCGTTTAACTCACGGCCTGAAAGATATTCAGCCGTAGCATTTGTTACAACATTTAATAAACTGGCTAATGCTTAGGCCATTCGTACGATAGAGTCATGATTTGGTAGAAATAAAAAAGATAAACATATGCCATAAAAAATTCTTTTAAAATTTAATTACCTTAGTGAAATTCACATTATTATTGTCACTACACTCTTCTATTGTACTTGTTGGTTTGGTGATGCCATATTGACAGTTTGAAAGGTTTCGTTTCTACTTTGAAAGTGGCAGAAAGTGACAGAAAGTGGAACTAAATTAACAGTGAACAGGCTAGGCAAGTAATGAAACTTCATCGATCCAAGTAAGTCATTTGCCTAGCTGTTTGATCAACTGGGTGGACATCTTTCAGGCCGCTAGTTAAACGGCTAGGCTCTTAAGTGAACGGCTAATTAATCTAGTTGGCTGCGACATGTATATAGTGACTCTTCATTAAATAAAAACATGTCTTAATAGATCCGGATCCAAAATCAGACTAGGGTAAAATACCGTCGGGGAAGGCCGTGACGGCGTGTACCAGTGAGCTTCTGCCCCGCCCTTCAGGCAATTGACCACCCCGCGTTAACGAGATCAATGAAAAACGATCTTTTAAAACATTTATCAAGTTGTTTTATACCTTAAAGGTGTCAGGGCGTTTCTTGCGAAGGTAGTTGAAGCAACAGGACCGGAAATGACGTGTACCACAGGCGGAAGCGCATTCACTTCCGCACGAGTCGCAGGATATGCCTTGCCCCCATACACTGCCTGTAAATAGAGAATGTTGAGTAAATAAAATAACACCAGAAGAATATAAATAGGAAAGCAGAGTTTGAAGAAATACGTCATTTTTAATTCTATGTGTATTGAATTCTCATTCATTCAGATACTAATCATCATAGTCATATAATAGTGACGGATCTGACAAATAGTAAACTTTACAGGGCAGCCATTTCAAAATAAAATAATCATGTTAGTTTTTTTGTCATAACGTTTTCAATTCATATTCTGTTATTAAGAAAATTGGCATACAAGCAAACAAAACAGTTTTTTTGAAACAAATAACATTAAAATACACAGTTTTATAGAAAAATCACATTATTCTATCAGATCCGTCACTTTATCGACTGATTAATCTGAAATTTAAAACACATGGATTTTTTGAAGTTCTTTAGGCGCGTTATGAAAAATGTATGAGAGTGAAATTTTACGATGCGCGCGCACCGTGACACAAAATTATCAGTATGGGCGCCGAGCGTGCGCGAGCGAGATGGGAATAAGACAATCTACAAGTAAAAAGAAATAGAATATGCGTGACGTTAGCAGCTATGCCAAGAATTTTGAATGACCATAATGACATTTGTAGTACCTTTTAAACAAATAAAGGAGTTTTAATTATTTTTTCAAAGAAATTTAGCAATGCTTTTTCACAAAGACCTATTGTTACTTAGTTAAAAGGTTATGAAACATACCTAGTTATTAAATTGAATTAATAATATAGTAAAATAATAAATAATAATTGTTATTAAAATTAATTAATAATTGAATAATATACTAAATATTAAATATTGTTAAATTATTAACGCTAAATATTTATTATTTAATATTTTAAAAAAATAAAGAAAGCCAAAGAAGTATAACTTCTTACGCGCGTACATAAGTAAACGCACAATTTTTTTAATGTAGCCGTAATATTCAGTCAATGTTGTGATATCCAAATATGATAAAAAGTGGATTTTGGATTTTTTTTCACATCCGACATTGTTCTACGATCATGACGTAATGTTGTGTTGTGTGCGGTTAAATTTAACTGTTAATTCAAAGATTAATAGACCAAAGTTAAATATAAATTTTTAATGATTATTCGTTTATTAAAACCTAACTATTACAATCAAATATACAGTATTTACATAATTCTTAACCTACATAGTAATAATAAAAAAAATTAAAACAAATTTAAAAAGTTTAGTCCTCTGTGGCAGTGTTTAACATTGAACGAAGAAAGCATCAGCTCCGGGGTCACCGGTCTACCAGGCGCCAAATTAATTAATTAAATTAATAATAATTACTAAATAACAAATAATAAGACAAACAAATGTTTTAATATCAGTTTCCAATTAGTGAGGCCCTTGATAATATGTAATAAGTGGATCAACTAAATTAAACACACCACTAACAAATTCATTCAACCATTTGCCACAGCATTTTATCTCCAACTTATCATGTCACAATCGTTGAACAGAAGAATTTTAAAAGCTGATGATGAAAATAAAAAAGAAGGTTCAGAGAACTGGCGTACCTACCTGTAGAGTAATCATTAGAAGAATGCGCGTCTTTCTTTATCCGTCTGTACTGAGACTGTGACAATGTTGCTGATACAGAATTGTATATTTTAAATAATAAAGGCGTGAATTATTGGAGTGAAACTTGTTTAGGCGCATAAAATGTTAACGGATGAAACGCAATAATAATACTATTAGCGTCACGAAGATGTGCAGCGTTTTTGTCGAAGAAAATTGAGAGGGTGATTGAGACCGATTGAGAGAGAGTGAGAGGGTTACCTTATTATACCTTTTATTTTTTTTAAATTAAAATTTCTTAAAGCGAATTTATGAAATGTGTATAAGTATTTTATGCAAAATAATTTATTTAAATCTCAAATGACGAATTTTAAATTACAATGCCACGTGTTTGTATTATCGACACTTTTATTAATATTTGAATGACAATTAAATTCAGTAAATTCCTAACATATTATCTTCCTTTTCCCTCCCTCTAAGTCTCGAAAATCTAAAGTTTTAGATTTGTATAAATAAATATGAAGGAAGAACATTTAAAAGTTAGTTTTTCTCTCTTTTTTCTAAACAGGGGCCAAACGGGACACTCTCAATGCCAAAGTGCTCGCAAGTACGGTCCTTTTAGGAATTGGTACGCTCTTTTCTGGAAGGTTCGAAGATACTTCATTATCTGTGCCTTTAATAACGCTCAGTTGAGGAACGAATGTCGAACGTCCGATGATGAAACTCAGCTGCAGGTATTAATCCGAACAACTCCTCTGAACCCTCTCCAAGGTAAATACGGTAGACGATGCAGTGAAGCCGCAAACATTATCAAATGTTTAAAAAAAAAACATGTGGCACTTGGGGACTGCGGCGGTAAAGCTATTGCATATAATTTTTTAACAACTTATGCAATTATAATTATTTATTAATTTTTTATATATGAAGTTTTTGTTTCTTTTATATTAATTCAATCTACCAGACTCAGACTAACAGGCCTATATAGTCTGTCCCAGAGTAGTCTCTGAGAATAATTAAAGAACGGACGTTATGGACAATACACCTGAATATATACTTCAGGCACAAGTTCACACATAGTAAAATTTATAATATATATATTATTAATAAACTATATATATTCAAGTGAAATAAAAGATTAAAGTTAGGGCTGGTAGGTTACCCCAGAGCAGCCTTGCGATTCTGTAACTCACTTTTCGAACTCACACAGCGGTTTTCGCAGCACAGAGTTACAGAATCGCAAGGCTGGTACGTTCCTCAACGAATAAGTATCGCGTTAAAGGTACTAAATAAAGGTACCTAAAGGTAAAGTTCTGGTATGAATAACATAGTCCAGGAATCCACGAAAAAAATATGACGTAGAAAATTTAAAATAACTACTATTACTTACCAATCAAAAATAACGATAAAATGGCGGCTATTTTCAACATGTTTGCAGCAGGCACTAGTTCTCGAATGAGGGTAGATCCTCTATCCCCTGTTTATATAGAAAACATCCTTTAGGAAGACGCGGGATAAATATTTATCATTCTCTTAACAATTTTCAACTTCGCCACCATTAATATGCATTATTTGCAATGTTATTGATACCTTCGAGATAGCACGGGATTTGAGAGAAACGATGTGATAACGATCGAAAAATAGAAACATTCTCGCAACACTTCTTCTAGTAACACTCGGAGCGGTATGAGTTTAATTTTATTGTAATGTTGGAGCTGGTGCACCAATAGACGTTTCTCAGTTCAATCAACACTTGTACTGGGGAAAGCAAACATCGAAACTTGCACGTTTAAGACCTGGAGATCCACCCAAATCGCGTGGGTCCCGGACAGAAAGATGATCACTTACTAGAGAAAAAGTATATAAGTGCAAAAACAGACGGATAGTGTCACTGTATTGTTATTCGTAAAGTTTACATTTCAACCATTTGTTTAGGCATTAAGTTTAGAAGTAAAAAAGAATCTGAATCAATACAACTTACAGAAGAACGTCAAGAAAAGAACGTCCCTGTTATTAAAGGTTGTCACTTCACATAAGTGAGCCTATAGCCGTGTCGTCTGTTGCATTAAAATAATGTAGATACAAGGCAACGTAGTTTCTTAATATCTGTATTATTATCTATTAGATTTAGCGAATATAAACATTAAACGCCACAGGTTATTGCATGGTCATTATATGCATGTTATTTTTAACAACTACCTTTTAACTATTTAATAAAGCTGAATAAGGAGTCTATATACAATACAATAATCTTAACTAGAAAAATTATAAAACATTATTATTATTTATTTATTTACACTTCATGGAGGGCATCTTATCAGGCAACCGCTATAAGGAAAAATAAATTAAATAAGGTGAGTGCAAGAAGTGCAAAACTTCATTAGATATACAATTACTTAGACAAAAATAATTGAACAAAACAAAGCTATGAAGACTGAAAATTAGTTAGTATGAAAGTTAATGGTAAAGGTAATGCTTACAGCAGAGATTTAAAGGAAGGTAGAGAAGGAGCTAAGCGAATAGGGACGGGAAGTAAATTCCATAGCCTCACTGCAGAGACCTTAAAGGATTCGCGAAGAAAGGCAGAGTTATGTGATGGGATTTCAAGGATATCGTTTCCGGTGTAGGCTACAGCTGTGAGCTCCCATGAGTTTAAAATCGTTCTTGAGATAAAACGGTTTTAGGCTTGAAGAGTACAGCTTTAGCAATGGTAGTAAAAACTCACTTTATTGCCAGTTCTTCTCTTCCATTCTACGCCCTTGATTTGAGAACTGGCAGTAAATGTAAAATTAGAAGCATTTAATGTATATTTCTTTTTTGACGATCATAAGTGTACATTGTTACCTATATGAAAAAATGATTTTTGACTTTAACTTAAGTATCGCCTAAGAGAACATTTAAACGTGAATTCTCGTACTAGGTTTACTACAAAAATAGCTCGATAACATTACAAATAGATCATAAGTTTTCTATCGAGGCAGGGTTGCTTCAGGCATAATTTAAAATAAGATTTATATACTTAGCTAAATCTCAAGTGATGAGATGGAGATAGAAATAACTGGTTTTGAGCTGTGGAGCTCAGCTTCGTAGCTCTCAGGGGCACACCGGAAGCCAGGAACACACCACTGCTGTAGTGGTCACCTCGCCGGGCCTTCCCCGAGGTAACCGGGGATCTTACCCGGCAGGGCTTGACCGAGTCTGCCCTCTACCACGGCCAAGTCGAGATTACTCCTTGGCCCCTCACCACCAGATTGACACCAACCGAGTAGAGCCCACCAAGGGTTATAAAGTCCACCTAAGTACCTGTAACAGCAGGGCGCGAACACAGAATCACCACCCGAAGGGGGCATATGCCCCGAACTGGCCAAGCACAAGCTCACCCCTCTCGAGGGAGTGTGCAGCAAATACCGCACTGGATAGCTCTCATATCCGAGAAGAGCGTCTGATCGCGTGATACCACCACCCCGGAAGGCTCTCTTGAAGTACCCTCTTTACTGGAAAAGCTACCCTCCCTCTTTTTGATTACGAAACGTGGGACATTTGGAGGGACAAGAATCTAGTACCCGTCACAAAACTGGTTAAAAGACTCTGGCATCTGGCCGGCACTGGAATGAACAGCTCGCTTCTTAAGCTGTCTTCGAGAGTCATACGGAGTTCTGTAAGAGAATTCAATTAATCGGAGCATGGGAATCATCCAGATGTGGTATGTTGTCTATGACGTGACAATTTAAGTTATACAATTTATAAGAAACTAGCTGTTGCCCGCGACTTCGTCTGCGCAGGATTAACTTTTCCAAATGATGTAGCATGAAAGACATATTTTATCTACTATAAATACCAGAAGCGATTAAAGTATTTCATTTAGGAATCAATTTATACTACCATTTGATATAAATTATTAATTTATATTGTAGTTATGGTTCACTATTTTGGCTATAATGGCTTACATATAAGATATAGATATATACTATGGCGGGCTTTTTTGTAGGACTATTTAAGATAAACATTTCCATCATACATTACATATGTGTAACTCTAGCGGTTTTGGCAGCGCACACCAGAATAGCTCGCAGATGGTAGGTTTTTCCTACTTGATATTTTGGACAATTCATTCAATATCATTATAAATTGTACCATATGTGTTATTCTGAGGTATAAGCTATATTATTGTAAAGTTTCATTAAAATCCATTCAGTAGTTTTAACGTGAAAGAGTAACAAACATTCATCTATACCTACAAAATTTTGCGTTTATAATATTATTATATACAATCTAGCAAAATTGTATTTTTTAAAACTTTGACACTTAAATATGATTTAATAAAAATGCAAATGTCGCTTCATCTGTCGAATGAATAAGTAACCGAATTGAAATTCCTTTGAAGGTTATTTATTTTTTAATGTTTGACGTCACATTTATTCTAGTCCTTCATGTATGCTTAAAATATACAAGAATATGACACAAATCTTACACACACACACTTGATGATACACATCAATCATATTAGAACAAAAATTTCAAACTAGAGCTATGTAACTAACATTAGTTAAGTTATATTTTAGTTAATAATTAATAGCGTAAACAATATCGCACACTTGAAGCCAAAATGAGCCCTTTAGTTTTTACCACACTCAAAAATTGTAATTTAACATTCTGGTATGTCACTTAGATTTACGAACTCTTCACTAAGTCAAGTTAGTTTTTTGTTAATCCAGCGTCGCAACCCCACGTCCCCTAATGGTATCTTAGTTATAAAAAAGGTGGGAGCTTGTAGTTTATTGTTTATCAGAATGCCAAATCATAAAATGACTGCTTCACGACTGATTTCAGAGCGACCGCCGATGTGAAAACCGCTGTGTGAGTTCGAAAAATGAGTTACAGAATCGCAGGGCAGCTACCGAACTTAATTACCGCTATCTCTTTTATTTCATCTTCCCAGGTTTGGTGGGCTTCCTCCTTTTTCTTGCCACTGGGCCATACCAAGAAGGGACTTTTTGACCTATCTATAAAATTTGCACTTTAACTAATTTTAAGTGTAGAAAAAAAAATATCCTAAAATTCTTTAGCCGCCATACACTTAATACTATCAAAAATACATGACGTTCTTTCGCTTACTAGTCCATTGAAATGTTACAGTTGCTGATCATTTGTTAGAGGACGCAATTTTATTTCTGGCACATGTAGTGGGGGTCAATACAAGCTTAAACCCATGTTTGTAGGGTTGGCACCCTTGTCCACCGGCCGCCATTTTGGAAAAAGGGGTGAAAACACGTTTTTGGCTATATATCCTAAACTATCCATCGTACAAAAAATTTGTAATATTTTGTAGCAAATCACTTTGCCTACAATTATGTCTTTGTGACTTTATCATAAAGCAAATATCAAAAGTTACGAGTAAAGAAGTGAAAAAATACCTTTTTTGCTTAATAACTTTTTTCTTTTTACTTTATCAAAAAATAATGTCAGAACAATTTCGCGCTCCAAAGTTGACCGGGTTTGTCAATGCTCATGACAAGCCGGTCTGTTTTTTACTTTTAAAGCGATGTTTATAGATTTGACAGATATAGTTCTCAACTCTCACACACTCTTGTATGACTCAAAACTTGGCGATTAAAAAGACTGGCGAAAAGTTTCTTGCCCGCTCTACGCCCTTGATTTGCGAACTGGTAGTAAATGTAAATTAACAATTAACTTAACTTCTTTTTTGACGTTCATAAGTGAACTTGTTTACCTATATGAATAAAGATATTTTGAGTTTGAGTTTGATCCAGCGCTGGTTTACGCACATTATTAATGAAATATTATAATATTAGACATAGACATATCATTTTTTACAAACAAAATCACACACACATATACACACAAAATAACAATAATCAAAAAGAAAAAATTTAATAAAAGATATAATGAGAGATATTTAAATTCTTTTTTCTTTTCCCATTCGGTTCGTCTCAAGTATGTAATGCGTGTGTGCTGTGTGTAATTGGCCCTGGCTCAGCATTATGCTGAGGAGCAGAATGTTCCACAGCCCTGGTCATTCTGCCAGAGACCACATCAGCTTGTTTGCGCCTCAGTCGCAAAAAAAAAAAAATTACACGCATACAAACTTTTGGTACTTTTTGAAGTTATGTTTATTGTGATTTATAAACCTGTTGGAACAGGAATACCAGTATAGCTAGTAACACATTTATTTAAGTATTTTCCTCATTCGGCCACGAGAATCGCGAACGATCGATCGCAATACGTGAGGTCTTGTGTCCTTGGTGCATCCACTAATACTTTTATTGATTGGTCTTGTAAGATAATAAAATTGTTATTGTAAAACGAATAAGTATCGCAAATACAGAGAGGAAATACTGCCAGCATTTTAATACAGGGACGAAACCTTTTAATTTATTTTAGTTTTCTATTTATCCATTTTAATTATTATGAGACCTTTGGTCCGTGGGGTCCTATCGCTATAAGGCTTTGTAAGGAAATAGCAAAAAGGTAAGTCGACATCACAGGAGACCGAGAGCTGGCAGCTCGGACAAAGATTTAGTCCAGCTATTCAAAGGGGGATCACTGCCAGTATCTTCGGAACCTTGCCTAAAGACTCCTTTTAGTTATTATATTTTAAGGTTAGTTCTTGTTTTTTGTTCTAATATTATTGATGTGTATGTGTGTAAAATTTGTGAAATCATATTTTCTTTTATAATTTTACGTATATGCGTTGTTTTAGAAATTATAAATTAAAATTATAATGTAGTTAAGATCGTATTCTTTTAATAAGTAGTAAACTTACCAACTAAATATTGACTTTTAATATTTTGTAATACACATCGAGTGTTTATTTTTTATTTTATCTACATGAAAGGGTCATGATGATGCTATTAGGCTATTACCAAAGATGCCTCATTCACTACATGCTGTGTTAGGGAGTGGGGCAGTGAAATTTCTGGGTCCGTTTCATGTTTTGCAATTCCGTCTTGTGCCTGCTTCTTCAGCGCTTCAAAGAGTTGTTTACGTCCAATATTCAATTAATTGTTATTGTGTATCTTAATAATAAGCAGTCCAAGCGGTTATTTCGTATCTAGTGGCCGCAAAGGTCATCTTAATGTTAAACATATTTTTAGTTGTTAGTCAACTTAACGAGAAGCCGGTCGGTTATTTGTGATATTAAAGTGCCTTATAAAGTAATATTCATTTAGTATATTAGATTTTTGTTTTTGACTTGTGTTTGTGTGTTTTACAAAGCACAAAGATGTCAAGTTTCGATTGGATTTAATGGAGTTATATGTTATAAATTAAACTTTTCTTCAACTTTGAATTTGTTCCCTTTGGAGGAGTCTTAGACCTTGAGGTTCAGGTTTTAAGGCGCCTGGTAGATAGTACCGGTGACCCCAGAGCTGGTGCTTTCCTTAACGAATAAGTATCGAAATACAGCGAGAAAATGCCAGCATTTAGGGCCTGCCAAATGGAGCAAACTTTTAAAATTTATTTTTTACGTTTTAAATATTATTACTATGTAGGTTAATAATATTGTAAATACTGTATATTAAAAGAGTTATTATAAGAGACATTATTGGTATTTTTTTATTATATTGAAATAAAATTCTAATTAATATATTTTGCGATGTTTTTTTTTACAAAAATAGACATTTCAATTTGAACAATTAACAACTTTTAAATGATTTTGTGTCATTTGAAATTTAGACTTCAATGATAACCTAAGATAAGGTGTAAAGAGACAAAATGTTGCGTTACACGATATTAGTGTTGTTTTGTGTGTGTGTGTCTGTGTCTGCTCAGGTTCCGAATTACTATTATAAACGTGAGTATTTAAAATTCTTCGACATTATTTCATATACATGTCCTGTTTTTAATGAAATTTTGGTCTAATTAAAATGTAAGATCGTTTGGATAAGAGTTTTAGTTTTTGCAAATCGTGTATTTAAGAAATTTAACACATGCGCTAATCATCATATACAGTACATCAAACTGATAACCGTAGGTCTTTGAAGTCGGTTAAAATTTATTATTATTCTTACCACTTTTAGTAACCAATTGTTATTTTTAAAGGCAAAGCCTTTATAGCGTGACCGAGTATTTAGACTGAGATAGATAGATATAAGTTTAACAATTATAAATTACTTAACTTCTTATTATGACGTTATGTTAATGTTCTTATTATATGACATTTGCGTGCTTATTTATATATAGCTGATTGTACGGATTGTACCACTATCTTGGCAAATAAACGATTTATTATTATTATTATTATTAACTACCACAAAAATTATGTACACACACATAGAACTGTCTCCGCAAACTTCATCTAACTTTTTAGTACAAATACCCATTTTCCGGTTTTCCAGAATGAAAACTTTTAGGTTTTGTATGTATCTTTGTATGCTGTATCATAAAAAAAATACAAATTTAGGGGTGGACCACCCTTAACATTTAGGAGTTTGAAATATATATAGTTGCCAATTCACAGACTTACTGAGTATGCATAAAAAAATTATAAGAATCGGTCGAGTCGTTTCGAGGTCGAGGAGTATGGGAACGAACATTGTGACACGAGAAATTTATATGTTACTGTAAAAGCTCGAACTTCGGTTAATCTTAAGATTTAAGTGTTAGTCTTAGGATTTACCGACACGAGTTGGTAAATGTAAGTATTTCTCAAATTACGACGATTTTTTCGAGCTTTTACCATTCGAATTCAGTATATGCTAGGTTTTACCACCGTCAGCTGGTAGATGTTGGTTTTAGGAATAAAACAATGAGTAATTCTTAAGTATTTACTTTAATGAACTATTAACAAAACAAAACAGGTACATAGTATTATAAAGGTATCATATGATAGTTATAAGTAAACTAATACCAACTTACTTAAATTATTTTGAAAAAAACACATAACGTTTATCTCTGAATATACCTACATAAGGTACCTAAAAAAAACACTTCACTTGTTACAACACGGATTGCTATTGTGGCATTTAGAATTACAAAGTAATCCTGATGATGTGCAGGTGCATTTTTTTGTTTTTCAACATTTACCGTGCCATTAATGTAAATCCTAAGATTTACCAACGGAATGGTGGTAAGAGTTCGAATCGCAAACCTTTTAGGACATTTACCATTAGGAATTGGTAGATCTTAGGTTTTACTGGAATATCTTAGGATTTACTGCAGTTCGAGCTTTTACAGTAACATATATAATATTACTTAGATAATAAGCCCTGAGTACCTCGTCTTTCTATATTCTTAACATTAAAGGCACACAGTTGATAGTGTCAGTCATGAGTCAAAGGATATGGAGAAAATTAGTTTTGAAACAATACCTAGGTACATTAGACTGATAATACTATTAATTCTTCTTAACAATAATTTACAATACGCATAAACACTCACTGAGAAATTATACAAAAATTGAAAAGACCACAATTTGAAACAAAAAACCACTGTCACACAAAAAGACTCTAAAAGTAATCAGCTGTTGTCGTGACCGCCATCTTGTTTTACATTATTTATCAACACGCTGGCTTTCGGTCAGACAGATAGTTAAACGTTTTCAAAGCTGCTTTATTTAAATAAACGCTAGCGAGTTGATTGAATATCGATCTTTACTTTACTGCGACATATACAAAATATTGTAAAACCTATTTTAAAAGAGTAAATGTGGAGTTTCTTGGCCATTCTTCTCCACACGAAGGGGAAGGGGCAACTAGAATCATCTTTATATTTTATTTGACGTTCAAAAGTGCCATTTTAGCTGGTCTAATTAAGATAATAAGATACTTGAATAATTTAAATTTAAGAAAATGAGTGACTCATGGGTAACCTCTTCCCCAGTTGACACCCCATGTTCAGCCTACAGTGAAACAGATAACACGACTATGGTCGGAACATGCAAAGAGCTACATCACTGCCCCATGGCTGTGAGGCTCATCACAGTCAATAGGATACATCCTTATGTAAGTATATTTATTTCTGTTAATACATAAGAAACAAGGAGCGTTTCTTAAGGCAGTTTTTGCCACCACCACAATGTGGAACCACCTGCCCACTGAAGTATTTGCGAACCACTTAGGGTCCTTCAAAGAACGTACGAATTGTTAAAAGGCAACTAGAGGCCACTGGCTATGAGAAAAAAAAGGCCGGCAACGCACTCGTGAGCCCTGTGACATTGAGAGCGTCCATGGGCGGCAGTATCTCTTAACATCAAATGAGCCTCCTGTCCGTTTGCTGTCGATTCTTTGAAAAAAAAGGCCGGCAACGCACTCGTGAGCCCTCTGACATTGAGAGCGTCCATGGGCGTCAGTATCGTTAACATCAGATGAGCCTCCTGTTTTTTTTTATAAAAAATCTATGTCTATTTTATCTATGTATATAATCTGCGTCTTGCTTAATCTTGATTAATCTTTCCAGCTTTGCTACCGAGATAATGAGTTTCAGGTAGCGTGCTGTCCAACCAAGCATAGTTTGTTCAAAACTGGAGCTTTCCGACAAATCTTCAAATCGACCACAGACAACTTCATTCGTAATAAGGACATTGTAAGTTCACAATAATGTCAAAAGTCAAAATCATTTATTCATATTGGTAACGCAATGTACACTTATGGAGGTAAAAAAAAGAAAAAATATATATATAGAGATATATATATATATATGAAATGCTTCTAATTTTACATTTACTGCCAGTTCTCAACTCAAGGGCGTAGAACAGAAGAGAACAACTGGCAAAAACTCTCCGCCACTCTTTTTAATCGCCAAGATTTTTGTTTTACTAAATATTTGTAATGAGCAGTTGTATATGTTATGTTTGTATATATATACGTATATATATTTCAAATAACAAAACAGACCATTCTCGGTTTCATCATTAGAATTACATTTTTTTAATTATAATTAGTTACAAAACTATTACTATATTCTATTTTCTTCTTCTGGTAAAACTTTTCCCATCTTCCGTACATTTCGCAACCACGACTTCTTTCCACGAGCCCATCTCTCGCCTTGAATTTTGCCCATCGTTATATGCAACATTACTGCTGCTATATTCTAATAAAATGAAATATCTTTACGTTGCGTTACAGACATGTTACTATGATGGAAATCAGCCAATGGTGTGTTGTGGTAATCCGAAGCCAATCGAATACAGAGAACCCAAACGATGCCCTCGATTGCCGAGGCGGCACATTAGCTCAGAAATCACGAAATACGACCAAGTTATATCAAGTAGGTGTTTTAGAAACATTATATCTACCTACTCTATTCTCATATGTTTATTTTTATGTAATTGGACGCAGGAGGCTCATCTATGTTAAGTGATACCGTCCATGGACACTCAGACTGCCAGAAGGCAAGGCGTTGGCGGCCTTTTAAGAATTGAACGCTCTTTGAAGGACCCTAAGTCGAAATGGTTCGGAAATATTTCAGTGGGCAGCTGGCTTCCACATTGTGGTGGTGCGTGGTAAAAACTACCATAAGGCTGGCAGCATACACACGGGGTATTTTTCAACAGCAAATATTAATATTTCTGCCTCACATATTTTCGTGTTAAATTTCTATGGCGTAACAAATACAGAGAATACATCCACGATACACGCGGCGCTGGCGCGATACTGAATAGAAATTTCCCAACGTATGCGCCGGCTCAAACAAAATGTATGCAAGCGTTGCGTTCCGCGTGACGTCATTAGGGTTTTTCCAGTAGGTTTCTCCGAACGCGCCGACTTGCACTTGAAACGTCCGTGCGGAATTTATTCCGTTCGGAAAAAAGCAAACGTGTGCGTCAGTTAATACATTTTCTACTGATTCCATGCATTCGGATGTCCGAATACGGAAAACGAATTAGGAAATCGTATACGGAAAACGTGTGTATGCGCTTAGCCTAAAGCCGGGTCCACATTTGTAGCATATTGACGTATCACGATCAGTCGTATCGTATCTAGTATCTGTATCATAAATATGGACGCTCATTTTGTCCATGTCGTATATTTAAGGCGTATCTTGTAAAAAACGCGTCCATACTTATCAAATGCTGTATCATGTCAGTGTATCGGCTTTAACTTTACAAATATAGACGCTTCACTTTTCTTCCGATGTATCATGATGCGCGTGTCTTTCAGTGCACCTTTCCCTTCTCGCAATGTTCAGTCATGTCTTCGTTCCCAAACGGTTTAACCATGTCAGCAATTGCTCACAGTTTGGCGGTGACTAGCGCCTGTTATATTATCATTAATAGTATTTAAAAAAAGTTAAATCTAGACGTAGACGGCGCTGGAAGTGTTTAGAAACCGAAACAAACATGGTGGAATACCATTTATGCGAGATTTAAAATTTCAGTATACCAGCGGAAAATACAAAAATTTCACTCGCATGTCACCCATTGATGTTGTGTATTCCCTTTGATGATCGCGAAAAAACCGACACAGGATGGTTCGCGGTGTATCAAGTATCGTATCGCGATACAGTATCGTGATACAGTATCAAAATACGTCCATACCACCGATCGTGATACGCGTATCGGATACGAGGTGTATCAAGATACGCGCTTAGTGCGGATCGGGCCGTATCCGATACGGCATGTATCATAAACGGGTATCATTTTGCGTCCAAACTAACGATCATGATACGCGCCGAAGCCACGCAACGGAGATACGATACACCGAAATGCTACAAATGTGGACCCGGCTTAAGAAACTCTCAGTTGTGGAACGATGCACGTCGAAATGATACGGATCGTATTTTGTATTAAGCCGGGTCCACATTTGTAGCATTTCGGTGTATCGTATCTCCGTTGCGTGGCTTCGGCGCGTATCATGATCGTTAGTTTGGACGCAAAATGATACCCGTTTATGATACATGCCGTATCGGATACGGCCCGATCCGCACTAAGCGCGTATCTTGATAAACCTCGTATCCGATACGCGTATCACGATCGGTGGTATGGACGTTTTTGATACTGTATCACGATACTGTATCGCGATACGATACTTGATACACCCCGAACCATCCTGTGTCGGTTTTTCGCGATCATCAAAGGGAATACACAACATCAATGGGTGATATGCGAGTGAAATTTTTGTATTTTCCTCTGGTATGCTGAAATTTTAAATCTCGCATCAATGGTATTCCACCATGTTTGTTTCGGTTTCTAAACACTTCCAGCGCCGTCTACGTCTGGATTTAACTTTTTGAAATACTATTAATGACAATATAACAGGCGCTAGTCACCGCCAAACTGTGAGCAATTGCTGACATGGCTAAACCGTTTGGGAACGAAGACATGACTGAACCGTACGAGAAGGGAAAGGTGCACTGAAAGATACGCGCATCAGGATACATCGGAAGAAAAGTGAAGCGTCTATATTTGTAAAGTTAAAGCCGATACACTGACATGATACAGCATTTGATAAGTATGGACGCGTTTTTTACACGATACGCCTTAATAATACGACATGGACAAAATCAGCGTCCACACTTATGATACAAATACTAGATACGATACGACTGATCGTGATACGTCAACATGCTACAAATGTGGACCCGGCTTTAAGCCGGGTCCACATTTGTAGCATGTTGACGTATCACGATCAGTCGTATCGTATCTAGTATCTGTATCATAAATATGGACGCTCATTTTGTCCATGTCGTATATTTAAGGCGTATCTTGTAAAAAACGCGTCCATACTTATCAAATGCTGTATCATGTCAGTGTATCGGCTTTAACTTTACAAATATAGACGCTTCACTTTTCTTCCGATGTATCATGATGCGCGTGTCTTTCAGTGCACCTTTCCCTTCTCGTAATGTTCAGTCATGTCTTCGTTCCCAAACGGTTTAGCCATGTCAGCTCACAGTTTGGCGGTGACTAGCGCCTGTTATATTATCATTAATAGTATTTCAAAAAAAGTTAAATCTAGACGTAGATGGCGCTGGAAGTGTTTAGAAACCGAAACAAACATGGTGGAAAACCATTGATGCGAGATTTAAAATTTCAGCATACCAGCGGAAAATACAAAAAATTCACTCGCATGTCACCCATTGATGTTGTGTATTCCCTTTGATGATCGCGAAAAAACCGACACAGGATGGTTCGCGGTGTATCAAGTATCGTATCGCGATACAGTATCGTGATACAGTATCAAAATACGTCCATACCACCGATCGTGATACGCGTATCTGATACGAGGTGTATCAAGATACGCGCTTAGTGCGGATCGGGCCGTATCCGATACGGCATGTATCATAAACGGGTATCATTTTGCGTCCAAACTAACGATCATGATACGCGCCGAAGCCACGCAACGGAGATACGATACACCGAAATGCTACAAATGTGGACCCGGCTTTAAGCGCTTGCTTCAATTAAAAAAACATGTGTGTAATTATACTTCTTTGGCGTAACAAGATAAAATCTTTTCATAAGTTCGTAGAAGAAACGACACTAACAATAGAAAAAAAGTATTCAATACATTGAAAGTTTTATTATAACGCATTATCTAGTTAAATAAAGTTTAATTAAATATCACAAAAAAAATATTTCTACATAATTAAATAAATGGACATTTTTTATTTTAAAATGTTGACTAACTTCAGGGTGTTTTTATGACGGTGTGCGCGCGTATCGTAAAAATTTACTCTCATAATTTTTCCCTAACGAGCCTAAAAAAGTATAACTTCCAAAAGAATATTTGAAGCCGAATCGTGTATCAGAACCACACATTTTCTTGGATAATTCCAGAGTGCTGGCAATACCAAAAACATTTCAATAAATGTGTGACCAAGGCAGATGGCAGTGGGTTCATCAGGGAGAACACCTGTGGCAGGCCGAATACAGATGTAAGGACAATCGGTGGTGCGCCGGTGGAACCAAGGGAATTTCCACATATGGTAACATACATATAACTTAAAACATTAACAAAAGATATGTATGCAATAATAATAGTTTTCTAATTTTTGACATCCTTGGGTGTTTAACTGTAATTTTTTTCAGAATTTTTGAAAAACATTTCATTGAAAAATATACGAATATGTCTTTATTCTTCGGAAATTGTTTTTCAATTTCCTGAAATAGATAGCAACAACCATAAAGATAATTTTAATTATAGTTTCCACGAAAAGAGTGGTAATAAATTGTTACGATCAAGACATTTCTTAAAATTACCGTCGTAATGTGTAGTTATTTTAATGTTATTGTTAGAATTAAGAGAGCCATGATAGACCTTTCGTTACTGGGACAACAGCAAGAATTCAAGTGTAATTTCGTTTTAATGAAGCTATATTGCAAACAAAATTTCTCAATATAACATAGTTTTCGGCTAATATACCATTGAAATTTACATCAATAACTTAAATGATATGAGCGAGTTGTTTCAGGCTGTTCTCGGCACTGACAATTCAGATGAAACAATTGAAAGAGATATTGATTGGATTGCTGGCGGTGCACTCCTGAGCGACAAGTTTATTTTAACTGCGGGACACGCCCTTAAAAGCAAGTAAGTCTTAGATGTAATTAAAGATATGAGCTCCTGACAAGGGAGAATCTCAGCCATTTAGTCAATAGCTGATGGTCGCATCACTTGTGTCTGCTATTAGTCCATTGAAATGTTACAATTTGAGGGCCAAACTGAACATTTGTTAGTGGACGCAATTTTATTTATGGGACCTGTCGGGGGGGTCGGAAAAAAAAATTAATACGTTTAAATAGTATTATTTTTGAGAGCTTTTCTTACTATTGCTGAAAAGAGGAAGGGGGGGAGGGGACAAATTGCAGTAAATCTGCTTACGTAATAATTGAATGGCCCCATCCCCATGGCCAAAAAGTCATCTTTACTTTATTACAGCGACAACTTGATCCGTTACGCACTAATGGGCACTCTGAACAAGACGGACATCCGCAGTGGAATGCTGTATACAATTGTAAGACTTATTCCACACAACGATTACGATCCACGGAAGCAGATCAACGATATCGCCTTAGTAGAACTGGACAGGAGGTAAGATTTTTGCCATCCACACAACAGCTGTTCGGGGTTGGGATAAATTATTAAGATATTTAAAGGGATAATTATTTATTTAATGAGCAATGGACTAAACTAGTAGGGTGAGATGAGATTGGGATAAGAGTCGCGCCCGGTACGAGGTCTGAATGCGAACTCATCAATTAAAAATCAATGACAATTTGTCATTTACATTGCAAATACCTGTACGTTGTTGTAAATCGTACCACAGCAATGTTACAAAATACGCGCGATCTTTTTCATTTTATGTCAGCTGAATTTGTATTTTTATTAACATGTAAGTAAATAGAATAAATAATATGTTATGTATATAGATTGAGACCGACATGAGCAGCAGCAACTTTTTGCCCATCAGACAAATGATCATGAAACAGATACATAAGTCTGAGTAATTAATTCCAGAGTCCAATTCTCCGAGTTCATTCGGCCATTATGTCTGCCCCTTCCTGGTATGGCTTTGTCCCTATTACACCTCACAGTCGCCGGCTGGGGCATCACCGAAGAGGGAGTCAGGGCAGAGACGCTGTTAAAGGTAAAGGCTTGTTATACGATATTTTAGATATCTTTATATATATGTCGCAGTCAACTAGCCTAATTAACCGTTCAATTAATTGCCTAGCCTTTTAACTAAGACATTTATAACTGTACCTCCAATAGAACTGAAAGACTGGACTCTTGCGTATCAATGGGCAAAACTTGACAAAAATGTCAAATTCTTAGAATCTGATTCCGAACTAAATACTTACATAGTAGCAAGCTCAACAGCAAGAAACATTCCATTTAATCAAGATTGGGAATCTTTTGATGGATACAAAAAAGAAAGCTTTCGCGTATTGGAGAGTTGACTTGCCCAACCAACAAACCGCCTGCATGAACGGAAAATGCACCTGCCCCATTTTTTTTTAAAGAACTATGTGTGCAAGCGTATCATCGGACTTGCGATCCGAATCAAGAACATGGCACCACCTGCAGAATCCAAAAATGTGCCTATTGGGCAAAAAAAGGGAGCGTGGACGCCCAATGCAAGCAAGACCCGCCTTAATAATCCAATAAAAAAGTTACTATTTGTATCTAATTTTATATTTTTTTGCTGATCTCATTATGTCGTACTTAATAAATAATAAGATGATTATAACCAATAAAATGCTGTTTTATTTATAAAAACTGCTGAAAGTAATATACAAATAGAAGCTATATTTAAAAAAAAAAGTTAAAGTAAAAAAGCTTGGCTTTAAACCTTAAACTTGGCTTACGCCGCGAACATAAATTGTATTTTATTTAGTAATATTTTCAGTTGAGTATTTTGCTGTGCAATCAGTCATTTTGATTTCAGTAAAGTTGGTATCGGATTAGTATTGCATACAAAAGTATTTTTTTTGACTTGCGTTTAAATACACCCGTTCCATATACGTAACAGGAACTAATTTTAGTTCTGGTTTTTAATTAGCCTTAGTATCATTCAATAATATAGAAAGACTGGCAAAATGAAATTATTATCCAAATTTGTGCTACTTATTTACTCAATAATTAATTTACAAGGAAGTTCCACTTATGACATGTGTAATTTGTACGCACGCACTTTTTTATTAGTGTCTGCTGAATATGGTATTGAATTCAATAACAGAGTACCTTAGCCAAACTGAACAAAAAATACAGCGATGTCCTTTGTCAATGAGTAACAGTGGTTATTCTACATTTCAGGTAGCAGTGTCGGAAAGGAAAGCGTCTGATTGTCGCAAATACGACTCACGCGACAGGACATTCAATAGCACAACGATGATTTGTGCGAAGGGATCGATACTTAAAAATCGCAATGACACATTCCAAGACACATGTCAGGTAAAGTAGATAGGTTAATACTTTAGCGAATTCAACTCTGCTTTTAAAATGACGATATGTTGGAATAATAATCCTTCGTTGAAAAATCTTCAACTAAAATCAAATTTTCGTCGCAGTTATAAAGTACATCTAGTTAAAACAAAAATCCCACGAAATCACTAGATTTATTTATTTATCTATTTCTTGAAAAATATTTTCATATTTTTTTTACTATATACTTTTACACAAGACTTCTTTACTTACACTGTTAATTTTTACTTATATTATTATTACATTATTCATTTCTTTTTGTTTTGGTCTCGGGCAGAATGACCAGCGCTGTGGAACAGTCTGCTCCTCAGTATAATGCCGAGCCAGGGCCAATTACAACCACAGCACACACGCATTACACACTTGAAATGTACATTATTCCTTTAAAAAATTTTGTTTTTCTTATTATTGAAGTGAAACTTCTTTATCGAGGTTGGAAAAAAATTTAGTGTAACATTTTTTCGTTACGCGTCACATTTTTCGGTTACGCGCCATGTTGCTTTTTTGAAGTCAAACTTCTTTATCGGCGTTGGAATGAAACTTCTTTATCGACGTATGGGAGAAATTTTGTAGCAAATCGTCACGTTTTTCAATGATAGTAATAATTCTATTACAATTAATGAAATTCTATAATAATATTCGTAGTAATAAGGTAAAATGAAATATTTGTATTCATGTCTATGATAATAAAAGCCTTTTGTTAAACTTTATCTAATTTAACGAATTTCTGTAAAGTTGCATATAGTAGATCATTTTTCGAAAAATAAGATCATAAAGAAGTTTCACTTCTTACGTGTGTACACCTAGTACACGCACAATTTATTATTTGTGTGTGTTTCGTTAGTAATGAAGCATTCATTCTATCTAAAAGGTGATCTTAGATTCATAAATGAATTTATGGCGTAATTTATCCGGAGACAATATTCGGTGAAGGTTTTGTAGTCTCATCTAAAAAACTTTATCCATCATAATTAGTTTTTGAAGTGAAATTTCTTTAGGCGCATGAAGGTAAAATTTTAAACTTTACGAATGAAACGCATAGATTTATATCGTTAGATAGACCCTTACCGCAATGAGACCGCGCCGTGTTGTTCCACAGTCGAAGTGAGTGAGCTCACTAACCTGGGATCAGTGCACCCTTAAACACAGTGTTAGCCGGACGTGTTGTAAAGGACGTTTGCGAGCAGTTTAGTGTCACAAAATGCCATCGTGTGCCTTTTTAAAGTGCAACAACAATTCTAGAAACACAAATAAAGCCAGAGGTGTAACATTTCACTCGTAAGTATTGCGATTTGATTTAAATCTTTTATTTTTCCTTCCGCACTGTCTAAAATAACAAATTTAAATGGCGAGTGCACGAAAGAGAAAGTAGTGTTTGCAGTTGCAATGTAGGAGAAAAAGAGATGACACTATTTTCTCAGTACAACAGATAAGTACAATGGCAGAAACACGATTTTTTAACTACTCGTTAGTGTGCGTGTGTTGGCATTTTGTTAACGCAGATATTCAAAAACAATGCCACAGTTTTTGGTGTCGGGGCCTATCTAACGATATAAATCTATGATGAAACGCAATAATAATAAGATTAGCGTCACGAACATGTGCACCGTTTTTGTCAAAGAAAAGGGAGAGAGCGATTGAGAAGTGAGAAGGGTGAATTACCTTATAAATTCTATTTTAAAGTTAAAACTTCGTAAAGAGAATTTATGAAATATTAGTATTTTATATTTTATGCAAAATAATTTATTGAAATCTCAAATGTCGGATTGTAAATTAAAATGCCTCGTGTTTATAATATTATACTTATTTTTGAATATTAACTTCTTTATCGACGCATGGGAGAAATTTTGTAGCAAATCGTCACGTTTTTCGGTTACGCGCCATGTTGCTTTTTGGAGTCAAACTTCTTTTTCTGACGTAACGCTTACTATAGTCTGTGTAGTTTCCGCAATTTAAAAATAACAACGATAGCGCGTTTTATTAGTCCGTCAGCGCCATCTAGAGGTGCATTATTTGAACTGATTTAAATAAGTTTCTTAGTAGTGTTTATTTAGGATAGCATTCATTCGTTTTATTTGATACTGATTCTTGTAATTATTTTATTATTAGTATAATTATATTTAAAATGACAATCCATACTAGTAACATGTGACCAAATTAAAATTCCACCAAAGAGGGAAGGTTCCCATCATAGCTTGCTTTTCTTTTGTTATACATACGGCCAGTTTTTTTCGCTTAATTTCGTATTTTACCAAAGGAAGAAGTAAATTAATACCAAATTAATTATCCTAAAAATCTGGTCTATTTTATTTAAAAATAACAAAGTTATATAAGAGAATAGCAGAGTAAATAAAAAAAAAAATCAACAGTTTTAAAAAAATATTTTAAATTGCAAAGTTTTTCCGACGATTGCGACATTCTATAATATTCAATAACAAGGTTATATTGATGATGTGCTGATCTTACCTTCGTAGTTGAATAATCTTTTTAAAGAACATGAACAATAAATATAATTTAATTATAATATGGTATTTATTATTTAAGTTAATATTTTATCATTCCAGTGATAATGCACGCCAAAGAAGTTTTACTTCAATCGCGCGTAAAGGTTACACGCACACACTTTTATTAAACTAAATTTATAATTTGTATTAATTTTCGACACTTTTAATATTTTAATGACAGTTAATTCATTAAATTCCTAACATATCTTTCTTTTCCCACCCGCTAAGTCTCGGAAAGCTAAAGATTTAGATTTGTATAAATATGAACAAGACTTAAAAAATAGTTTTTTCCTTACTCGGGTTCTATGTAAGAGATCGCCTGTTAGCGATAAGGCCGCTCGTTGCATTATAATTTTATGCATTATGTTATTTGTTTTTGTATAAATGTAACGAAGTGATATATGTAATGAAATAGATAACATAATGTTACAGGGAGACAGCGGAAGCCCAGTGACGGTGAGGTCCCGTGAGATAAATTGCACCTACATCGCGATGGCCGTTGTGTCCCATGGCCCACAGTGCGGCTCGGGTGCACCCGCAGTGTATACAAGAGTGGAACCATTCCTCGATTGGATCATTGATACTGTGTGGCCGGAGCTTGCAAGTTAGACTAAATAAATGTTCAGAGTTCAAGTGGTTTTTTTATAATTCCTACAATTCTTTTTGATCATATCCAATGTACTTGAGCAGTTTGTGACAGTAAAATGATGTGTAAGTTATAGTTTAAAGCAAGGCAACCCTGTTCGTGTATTCTAACCCGTCTGTGAACTAATTAAAAAAACGTGTGGCACTCGGGGACTGCCGCGGTAAAGATATTGCATAGCATTTTTTATCAACTTATGCAATTATAATTATTTATTTAATATTTATATTAATTCAATCTAACACTCTACCAGGCTCAGACTAACACGCCTATATAGTCTGTTTCACTATAACGCGTACCGACTGCACCGCCCGCGCTTACGCTACGTCACCGATCTCGTCGAGAGATGTGAGACGCAGTATGCGGTCTGGCCCCTTTCTAACGCGTATTGCCGCACCCACCGTCATCGTGTGTTAGGTTTATTTTCGTTACGAAATTTCTTGATTCGATCGCCGCGCTCAAAAACAAATTCAATGTGCATTGAATACGTTGTACATAATTGTATTTGCCTGATATTTGTATCACATGATGTTTTCAGTGAATGAAAAAGACGTTATTAGCTAATTGCCGTACCAAAACTTTGTTGTGTATTGCACAGACTAATAGTATTACTTAAGTATTAGCTAACTACGCATGCGCCGTCGCACGTGTCTGTGTAGTTAGTAGAACACAAAAAAAAATGAGTTCTCGTAGCAGACACAATCTTAATATATAATATGAATTATGCGTTACGTTGTTTGTCCGCTATGTACTCCTAAACTACTTAACCGATTTCAATCAAATTTGCACAAAGTGTGCAGTTTGAACTAACTTAAAAGATAGATAATTCTACTATACGTGTGTATGTCACCGAACTGCGACCGAAACGGCTGGACCGATTTGAATGTTTTTTTATACGTTTGGGTGGAGCCCTGGATGGTTTAGATTCACACATCAGCCCAGCAGATGGCGCTGCAGTACTATCATACTTTGTTTAATATCCTAATCGCTTGAAATATCATGCAGGACAACGTCTGTCGGATTCTAGTAGATTTGAAAAAGAGTTCTATCATTAAATAGAATGTAAAATTTTGGGTCTAGACATGGGACCTCCAAGGTTTCTATTTGATCTATTACATATCTAGGAATATCAGTTAAAGCCTAGGCCAGAACTCTTCTCTTTCTCTAAAAAGAAAGAGGTTCTCTTCTTTATTTTTTTATATTAATCATTTTATTAGTTTAATTTCTATTATATTTTAAAGGGTAGCGAAATCGAACACCCCGTCTGGTTAAAACAATGATATATACTCGGAAATATGTTTTCAAACATAATTCTTTAAAACTATTCTATTATCAATTTCCTGCATGAAAAAGGTTAAAGAAAATAAAACAATGGAATGGATTATAACGAGTTTTCATTTACAACTTAAAGATTTTATTTACAAAATATAACTCAACTCTTTTACAATTTTTCTCATCGGTGGCGATCTGGCTGAAACTATATTCCTATAATAACTCAATTTGAACGAACGCGACACAATTCTACTAAGAATTATAAGCGAAGAAGATAATAATTGCGTCGGGCAAGTTTTCCTGCCAATCTGGACCACTTGGATAGAATTTTCGGTTCCAATTTCGTGCCTACTAAACTAAAATAATAAAAAAAACAATCAGTGGTGCTACAACCTTTTTAGGCCTGGGCCTCAGATTTCTGTATCGGTTTCATGTTCAATCAATCTTTTAGGCAATTAGGTGTTCAGTCTCCTGTGCCTGACACGCTTTCGACTTTTTGGGTCTAAGGCAAGCCGGCTTCGTCACGATGTTTTCCTTCACTTGGAGCGAACGTTAATTGCGCTCATAGAAAGTCTATTGATGGACAGCCTGGAATCGAACCTACGACCAGAGGGATGAGAGTCGGACGCTGGAGCCACTAGGCCAACACTGCTCTTATACTAAACAAAAACAAAATATTAAAAATAATTTTCCTATAAATTTAGGAAACAATTCTTGGTATAGACTATTTTTAAGTTTATACATGTATTACCTATCATAATAGTCTACAATAATAGTACTCAGAGTCGATCATGATCTTAATGAATAGATTAAAATATAACGAACGATGTAATTAACGAATGTAAATTTCCATACGTTTCTTAAATATTTATTTGCCAGGGATTAGCTCTTCCTCCCGCGATTACTATAGTATAAAGGGTCGACGGTCAACGGATACGGGTTCTTAATGAGCGACTCTGAGTATCGACGTAAAACTCCATTTAATTACAATACTATCTAACTATTGAGCAGTGGACATAATACTAATAACACAGTCACGATTTAGAATATCATGGTTACAAGTTACATAGATTTCAAATGGAATTTGGTTGTTGACATAAAGGTCTCGGCATATCGGATGGGGGAAGGGCGAGTGTGATACCTTTGCGATTTTTCTAACGCAGAAATCAGTGGTCTGCCTTTCTTCTGTCTGGCAATCGAAATAAGTATAAGGGATTCAGTATTATGTTCTTTGTACAAAAAAATATAAACGATTATTGAAAACAAATGGTGACTTTCACCAGTATAATAGTCGAAACTAATCTAAGCGTACGACCAACCAGGCTCCAGAAGATAAACCACTCCTTGTATGGAAATTGTATTCGTTATTATAACAAACTCCCAAGCGAAATTAGAGAATTATCACTGAATAAATTCAAAGCCCTCGTTAAACGTAAATTAATCAATAAAGCTTTTTATAAGTTTGACGATTATTTAAATGATTGATTTGCTTCAGTTCAAACAATTTGTATGACTCAAAACTAGGCGATTAAAAAGAGTGGCGGAAAGTTTCCTGACAGTTCTTCTTGCCCGCTCTACGCCCTTGCCTTGCGAACTGGTAGTAAATTTACAATTAATTTAACTTCTTTTCTGACTTTCATAAATGTATTTGTTTACCTATATATATAAAGTTATTGTGAGTTTGAGTTTGAATCTCGTAATACAAATACTCTATATTGAAGTCTCGATCGCTAGCGGGAGTCACAAAGTGCCGGCGCTACGATAGTGATATTATGACAAGCCAACACTAGCCACGTGCCAGGAGTACAACACCTGGATGATACATCGTCAGGTTCAGTGTTACACTGGTCCAGCAAAACATTAGTATTAGGGTGGTAGGTACTTTTCGAAGGCTATATAAGGTAGTTGAATTTAAATAAAATCCCCCATCAGAATTCTTACTATAAAATTATTCATCAGTTCAACGCAATGCTATGGGAAAACTTTATGCAGCCAGACATGACATTTATTACTAACGAAACACACACACAAAATAATAATCAAAAACAAGAAATATGATTTTTTTTTAAAAGAATAACGTACATTTTAAGTGTGTAATGTGTGTGTTGTGGTAGTAACTGGCCCTGGGTGAGCAGAATAGTGTGAGCAGTAATGCCATCACAAAACATAACTTGAAAAAACCAAGTATCACAACATTTCTTCCGTTAAAAGTGGTGAGACCCAATACAATGTATATGTAATGCCGAGGCGAATAATGTATGTTATGACGTGATTAGCTAACCTCTCATATCGATATTACACATCTTTTGAATAAATAGATTGACTTGGCAATCGCACGGGAACACAATGTATCTCACAAGTAAATTATTACTTATAAAAAGTTATATTAAGTTAAATTGTTTATTGCCAAGTCAATCTATATATTCAGGCTTCTAATTTTATCGAAGTTATATAGAGAAAAGGATACAATAATAAAACGCAATACCATAGTTCACTAAAGGGAGATTTGCTAATTAAATCTTTTCAGGCGTTATAAATATCATCTCAAAAATTGTAGACATAAATTTGGCAATAAGAAACTTGGGGCCGTTCAAGTATTACGTAAGCACTGTAGAAGAGAGGAAGGGTCTTTGATTACTTATTTCGTGATTACGTCAATAGGAATTATTTACTTTTTTACACATATTACCCACACATTGTCTATGCTTGAAAACGAAATGCATTTTCGAGGATTCCTACTAAAAATTAATACGTTTATGTACCCACTATTATTTTTGAGAGCTTAGCTTACTTTTGCTGACAAGAGAGGGGGGGATAAATTGCAGTAAATCTGCTTAGGTACGTAATACTCAAAGGCCCCCTTCCTATGAATTCATTATTTTAAAATTTATACTCTATCATCTAAATACTAACGGTAAATAGTTTCAGACAAAAATATTCTTAATCTAGACAATTATATTTAGTCTTTGATCTAACAAATGGCAGTTCTATGTTAAAAGATAAAGACGCATTAAAAAACATTTGTAAGTGAATTAAACTAAGCAGGCTCCCGAAACGCCCTTCAATCACTTTAGAATGTATATTTCTCTTATTTTAAGCTCTATATATATAAATAATAAGGACTACTTCTGGTTGACATGAGATGACATGACTCTCGAACAATAGTTATCAATTCGACGGAGGCTAAGGATGGACGAGACGAAAGGAGAAAAAGAAAAGACTTAAGATACGTTTATTTACAAGAGCTCCAGCACTTTGATGGTGCCCTGCGAGTTGGCGGCCAGCAGGACGGGCCTGTCCACGGAGCGTCTCCAGCAGACGGCCGAGACGAACTCGCTGGGCTCCTCGTCGCGGCGCTCCTTCTCGAGGAAGCCCCGCACCGCCTCGAACCTGTACGCCAGCAGGGGCTTGGAGACCCCGTTGTAGTACACGTACAGCGCGTTGTTCTCGGAGCCGCACGCGATGTACTTGCCGTCCGTCGCCAGCCCCACGAAGTTCTTCTCGTTGGCGTGGCCCGTGAAGGACCTGACGCACCGCGGCGAGTCCACGCGCCACAGCTTCAGCATCGAGTCGGTCGAGGCGGAGACCAGCGTCTTCGAGTCCAGGAACTGCACGTAGGAGACGGCCTTGCGGTGGTCCCGGAGCACGGCCAGGGGGGGAGCGGGGGGCGCGCAGGTCGTAGTAGTGCACGCAGTGGTCGGCCGAGCCCACGGCCAGGTGACACGACGAGTTGGGGTTGAAGCGCACGCAGCACACGTTGAACTTGGCCTCGAGGGTGGCCACGGAGCGCTCGGCGTTCAGCGACCAGAGCTTCACGCGGGCGTCGTCGGAGCCCGAGGCGAGCAGGCGCACGTCGGCGCGGTTGAAGTGCACGGACCAGCAACGCTTGTCGTGCTCCTGCAGCGCCCTCGTGCGGAGCCCCGTGGCGGCGTCCCACACGGCCACGGTGCCCTCGTAGTCGGAGGAGGCCAGCACGTTCTTGTGGTACGCGTTCCACGACACGCACGAGATCTTGTGCGAGCACTGCATCTCGGCGCACGGGTAGTGCACGTCCACCGCGTCGCGCACCACGGACTCGAACTCGAACACCTGCGGCGCGCGAGAGCCTCGTCAGTCCCTTCCTCTTCCCCCGTCCTCCCCCTCTCCTCCTCTCCTCCCCACCCCTGAGAACCGCTCACCTTTATCCGTTTTGTGACTCCGGCGATCGCGAAGAACTCGTCGTCCTTGTCGAACTCGATCGTCGACACGATGGTGGAGTAGTTGATGGCGTCCGAGCAGTAGGACAGGGTCGCCAACGGCCTCAGGGCTCTGTAGCGGGTGAACGCGGCCAGGTCCTCGCGGAACGCGTCCAGACCCCCGAACACTTCCGTCTCCACCGCCACGGGGGTCGCGGGTTGGACGGGCGGCTCCCCGTCCGGGGCTCTCTGGTCCCCGCCCGGAAACGCGGCGTTCATCGACGCGTCTCCGCTCCCGCATTGGGCGACGGCGTGGACCGCCGGCGGGTCCCCGTCCGGGGCGGTTTGGTCCATAGCTGAAAATAATACATTATATAGTTTATTGAAGAGGCAGAGCATAGACAAAAGAATGTCTAACAATTAAATATGTTTCACGTGGGGAAGGATTGATACCTGCAGCGCTGGAGACTCTCGTCTCGGGCATCTGTTGGGGCACGTGGTCGGCCTCCGAGGCCCCGCCGGTGGTCGAGGGCACCACGGGCCCCGGGGTCACGGGCGCCGTGGGCCCCTCCGACCCGGACCCCGGGAAGTATAGTTCGTCGGCTCGGTGGGCGAAGTAGCACTGCAAATCGTTTGCAAATTATTAGAATGTTTAAACAAAATACATTTTCAAAAGTGATTTTGTTAAAAGAACGAAGAAGTTGACAAATAATGTTCTTCTCTCTGCCAATGATTTTTGAAGTGAAACTCCTTTATGCGCATGAGGGTAAATTTTTTACGGAACGTCACGAAGGTGTGCAGCGTTTTTGTCACGAAAAGGGAGAGAGCGATTGAGGCACTTGAAGGAGGTAGGTAGAGCTTGTAAAGCAAGCTGTTGTGCCAGACCTTGCCGAACGCCTTCGCTATATCGAAGAAGAGCATTGTGGCTCTCGTTTTCAAGGAGCTATTCATCCCGGAAAGGTGCACGAAGGCTGAGCTTGACGAACGATTCCGAATCTGCCTGAGGCTTGAAGCGACTTCTTCTCGACAAGAGAGGGCGGCTGAGGTTATAGTCCAGTCAAAATAGGCATTTGACTTAGCCAAAATTCGCATAGAGCTGAAAATTGGCAGAGACGTTAAATACATCATTATAAATGAAATGTCAAAAATCCCCTTCGATCTTACTTCTGCAAAAAAATTTATTCAAGGTCAAAAGTATAAAATTAAGGTTTTTTCCATTTTTCTCGAAAACAGTTAGTATTATCGTGAAAATAGATCAGACAAAAGTTGTAGATCATACAATTCTCTACAAAAATGGTTCAGTCACTTTTTCTCTTACGACTCACCATTCATGAGATATCGCGGTTTTAATCATTAGAAAATTCATATTTTACATAATATGCACACATTTCCGCACCACCTATGAGGTAATGTACTTGGCGCATTTTTTTTAACGTGCTTTCCCCAGTAGGTATACTCCACGATCTATTGTAATAAAGAAAGTTTGATCAGATCGTATCCTATTAATTGAAAGAATAGTAATATTGCTAATGATTAAAGTGGAATAGGTTGTTTTTTTCTACATGTCATTATATAAGATAATTGTCTAATTCTACTTCAACAATTATTTCTTCGTCTTCATTCTCTTCTTGCAGAATTTCTGTTTGCTGTTCTAAGAAAAAGGGATGCATCAATTGTCTCTTCATTAATATCATAAATATCTTCATCTGTTGTATTTGTTTCAATATTGGAGCAAGTCTGACCCTGACAATTGATGCATACTGGCGAACAAAATAATCCTACTTTTTAACAGCCACAATTCTTACTACAATCCGTCTTGCATTTACAAAAATAGTATTAAGTAGTTTTTCTGGAGCAGGCGGGAGTAAAGTTTGAATTGGCTCCAAATAATTATCTGTTAATTTCCAACCCCATTCTTCTGGGTCCAGCTCATTGCCTAGCCACACTTGAACTTGATAATACACACGATACAAGTGTTGAAAGGCAGAAGCAGATGTTGGAGGCAGACAAGACAACTGTACTGTTTTATTGTTCCATGCAGATTTTACAAACTTCAAATATCTATATTTGTCTATGGAATCAATTTTTTTTGGAGCACCATACAATGCAAGAAGAAAACGAATTCCATTTGTAACGATGTCGTGTGGAGAAGAGTCAATCTTTGTGAATACTTCTGCGCAATGAATTAAATCATTACGTTTTTCAAACAATTTAAATACTGATGTTTTACCTCTTTTAAAAATTGCTGATGTTGTATCACAACCAGTTATTGCATGTAAAAATAAAATATGAGCTTGACATTTCGGATATGCAGTCAGACTTTGTGATGAATATATTGTTGATTGTACTTGAGCTTTCCCAGGTTTTAAAAAGTAAATAATTTTATCATTTGGAGTCCGTGCAGTCAGTAATATCAACAAATCAACATCTTCCCCAACAACGACAGTTGTATTTGAACTTTTCCATTGTTCTATTGCTGTTTCAATTATAAGGACATCAGCAGCAGGCCGAACAGCAGTCATTATACAGTGGCTGATAGTTGTACATATTAATTTCAAATGATCTACTTTAAATCGTAGATTTTTTTAAATTACTTGCTCCAAAAAATAAGTCAAGGACTCCGGAATATCGCTGTTAATATTTTCAAACATTTGACTCGGCGGGGGATAATTATCATTATCAATCACTACAGATTGAATATCCTCTCGAATAATTGCTGCAGCAGCTTTCAATATTCTGAATCGTTCTTCGTTTGTATTTTGTTTTTTATTTTCATACCAAGCTTTATTAAGAATATCGTACTGATTATCAATAAAACAGATAATTGTTAAGCTTCCTTTCTTCTCAGTTATAATAATTTTATCACCATACTTTAACTTTAATCTTCTTTTAGTTGTTTTATTATCTATAGTTGGATTTTTGCCGATATCTTTCAATTCTTGTAATGAAAATTGGCAATCATCATTATTTTCAATGTACTGAAATATTTCCTCCATCGCCAAGTTTACTGAATCATCTTCGGGACGACCGACTTTATATCCCGTGGTAGGTCTCAAAAAGATATTATAACAGTTATTGTGGTACTTAGGTGACGTATACAGACTGCATTTTAGTGCATATTATGTAAAATATGAATTTTCTAATGATTAAAACCGCGATATCTCATGAATGGTGAGTCGTAAGAGAAAAAGTGACTGAACCATTTTTGTAGAGAATTGTATGATCTACAACTTTTGTCTGATCTATTTTCACGATAATACTAACTGTTTTCGAGAAAAATGGAAAAAACCTTAATTTTATACTTTTGACCTTGAATAAATTTTTTTGCAGAAGTAAGATCGAAGGGGATTTTTGACATTTCATTTATAATGATGTATTTAACGTCTCTGCCAATTTTCAGCTCTATGCGAATTTTGGCTAAGTTATGACTTATTTTTGTCTATTTTGACTGGATTATTATGTGCGATATGCAGAGGTCGCTGCTTGCGCGATCTTTTGTGAGGTAAAGTCCCTTTTTGGTAGAGGCTGGAATGGTTGGAGGGCCCTTTAGCGGGAGGACCGGCTTCTTCTTCCAAGTGGTGAACGGAGCTGGTACGGGAGGAGGGTATTACACGCGGCGGACGCGAAGAAGAACTTGGGTAAAAATCCCACAATACCTTTCGATATATTCCACATTTTGAATATTTATTTGAATTCTCATTCACTCACTTTTAACATCTTACAAATAAAATTAAATAATTTTAGTCATGGACACTCATCCCTCCTATAACACTATATATTAGTTCCGCGTTATAGGAAACGCTTTGTAGGAATATTATTACTTAGCGCGCTTTTATGACCCTACAATAATCTATATACAAACGATTCACTTATAACTTTTAATGGGGATTTAAATCGAATATTAAGAAAACTATGGAAACGGAATAATTAAAAATCCTTATAAATGTCACAGTGTAGAAATTTAACGCGCAATCCCCGCGTTAAACGAGGGACTGGAATCACGTAATATGAAAATGCGTTATAATGGAGTTTACTGTAAGCTCAATAAATATTCTAGAAATCACAGAAGAGAAGAACCACGAACCTGTACGAAGTCATCGAAATGCGCGGCCAGCCTCCTCCAGCGCTGCGCGAGCGCATCCGTCCCGGCCCAGCCTCCGCCGCAGACCGACCCGAAACTCTCCTCTTCCTCTTGCGCGTAAGGGGCTTCTGAAAGTTTCCTCTTTCTTTAGTCATGTAGTTGCTACTAACCTAACTCTGTTTTTCAGTCCACTACTTTCACTAGAACTTTGATACAAGACGGTGAATTTTTATTTTATATAATATAGGTATATAATATAATAAAGAAGCTAACTTTTACGTGTTTTTGTATGATACAGGAAGCCTGCTGCCGTGGACACCTGAACACCGGGTGTGTTGCTGGCCTTTGACTACTACTGGCGCCTGGTTCCACAAAAGTGGAAAGCTTTCGCATGACCAATAAATTATTCCTGCGGTCGTATCGTAGAATAGAAGATAGAAAGAAGAACAGATAATAGACCAAATAGGAAGAGAGTCATTAAACTCACGCTGTGTGTCTGTCTCGCTGATTTCCCGTTTCAATCGACCCTCTCGCAGCCATTCGGCCAAGGAATGTTCGGTGGGCGAAGGGATACGGGCCTCCGCCCCCGCCTTCAGCTCTCGAAGGACTGTGCCCACGTGGTCCAAGTCCTGCGAACCCCAATTCAGTGCGTTCTTTACCATAACAAATTGCTCTAAATGTTCACGAGGAACAGAGAGTTGCAGCTCCTTACAAACATTTTCATATTTTTATCGACGTTCATATCTCCTCCTTAACGGGGCAAAGTATCCTGTTTTACACTAGGGATTATCGATATTAGAAAAGAAGTAGAAGTAAGAAATTTGCATTAATAATTGACAAAGAAATAAAATACAGTGAAATGGTTCGAAGCTTATTAAAAAACTGAACAAATTATTACATGACTGCATGAAAAGTAATTTTGATAAAGAAGAACCTTTTCATCTATTTCTTTGTTGATAAAGAGTAGTGAGGAAGTGTGAGAGAGAAAGAGCGAGACTACGAAGAACGAACGAAGGGAACGATCTGGGCGCAGTGAATGAATACGCGTTCAAAATTTTAATAAAACTGATTTGTGGATGCGTTCATAGAAGACTTAATTTGTTTCGTAAGTTGCATTGGTCGTGCCGAGGCCGTGAGTTAACATCGATGTTACGATATTTTTCGAATAGAAACATCGATGTTACGATATTTTTCGAATAGAAACATCGATGTTACGATATTTTTCGAATAGAAACATCGATGTTACGATATTTTTCGAATAGAAACATCGATGTTACGATATTTTTCGAATAGAAACATCGATGTTACGATATTTTTCGAATAGAAACATCGATGTTACGATATTTTTCGTATAGCAACATCGATGTTATCGTGTACCATCGTGAACGTGGTACAAGTGGCACAGTGCAGAGGAATGGCGGGATTTGGAGGCCTTTGCCTAAAAAGGCACACAGATTTCTTCAATAAAAGAGCGTACCAATTCTTAAAAGGCCGGCAACGCACTCGGGAGCCCTCTGGAATTGAGAGTGTCCATGGGCGGCGGTATCACTTAACATCAGGTGAGCCTCCTGCCCTGTCCATAAAAAAAGATACCAGAAAGAAGATTGAAATAGAAACGTGTTTAAATTTAAAAGTATCTTAATTATACTTTTAAATTTAAACACGCGCTCTAAGCCCGCGACAAAATCTATGCAATTTTGTCGCGGGCTTAGAGCGCGGAGACCGAATCAAGAAATTCCGTAACGAAAATGAAAACTAATTCATTTTTAATCCACTTCTTATACTATACCCTCGGTTGGTGTTTCTTTTTTTAATTCTATACTAGCGTTGCCTGGAAGAAATTGCTAGTATGAAATTAAAACATTGCCTTATGTCTTACGCAAGTTGTTTTTACTTGTATGTTTGTGAGTAAATAATTAGATTTTCTATAAATAGACATAGACATAACATTTATTACTAAAAAAACACACACATGAACACACATAATAACAATAATCAAAGAAAAAAATATATAATGAGAGATATTTAAAAAAATCCTTTTCCCTTTCGGTTCATTTCAAGTGTGTAATGCGGCTGTAATTGGCCCTAGCTCTGCTGAAGAGCAGACTCCACACATACCTTCCGCACAAGCGTCGCCTCTCTCGACAACTGTTCCAACTGGTGTGAGCGGTGCCTCAATAGCTGAGACAAAAACTCATACAAAAGTCTGTGGTGAGCCGCAGCCGACTCTGCTTCTAGGAGTCTTTTTCTTCTCGTCAACACATCTAGCATGCCATCGACATCTGATAGACCTGGTAATTAAACAAAAATATGAACAATATCGATGAGAGATTCGTAGAAATTACATTTAAGGGGAAAACCTTTGAACCCCATCATTAAGAATTTCAATACAGCCTTGCGATTCTGTAAATCGCAAAGCAACAAGCTAAAAAAACCAATAAACAACAAGCTCCCTTCTTATCAGAATGCCAAATCGTAAAATGACTGCTTCACGACTAATTTGAGCGCGACCGCCGCTGTAAAAACCGCTGTGAGAGTTTGAAAAGTAAGTTACAGAATCGCAAGGCTGGTTGTTCCATAAACAGCTGAAGGTGTATAATTTTTTTAGCTTCTTAAGTGTTATTTGTAGTGTTGAAAGGTTAATTAAATTCATCCTGGGCTCGCACTTTACCCTCATGACTTCTACTGTTCAGATTTCATTTATTAGCACATCATACATAGTATTAAATACAAAATCTTCAATCTAAAATGTATGACAATTGAGGTAAAAGTAGGTGTAATTTTTTTTTTCGTTTAAATCCAATTTAAATATATACAAGATAAAATAAGCATACAATAAAGTTAATTTGAACTTTAATACCATATCATAGAGTTCAAGTGTTAGTGGAGGGGTTCCGGGAAGGTAAATTTTTATTTTTCACATAATGTATTTGTTGTCTTATCAACTTTTTGTTTTATCTTACTAGCTAGACCGGTGTCCCGAATAGCAGAATAAGTATTTAAAAAAAATAAAGAATAGACTGTTAGGCGGTACGATGTTCGCCAGGCCAGCTAGTATATATATAAATATTCTTCTAACTTATGAACGTCAAAAAAGAAATGTATATGAAATGCTTCTAACTTTACAATTAGTGCCAGTTCTCAAATTAAGGGCCTAAGACGGAAGAGAAGAACTGGCAATAAACTCTCCGCCACTCTCTTTAATCGCCATGTTTTTTTTACACAACATGTAATTACTAGCTGACCCGGCCAACTTCGTTCCGCCTAACAGTCTAATAATATTGTGTTAACTTTAGTTAAACCTAATTTAGGATTTCATTAAGATAATAACATTAATACAACTTTTTTGCAAATACAGATGTTTTATTGCTTGCCATTGTGAAAGAGAATGGCAGTTTTACACAATAGGCCTCTTCTCTCTAGCGCCAATATTCCATGTTAGAGCACTTTCTGATATACAAAATTTTTAACAATTTGTAACACATGTCTTCGATCAAGATCAAAGCCTGGATATGCATCTCCTCATTCACCTCAAGTCCGGAATTTCTTGAACTGACACGAATTCGACGTAAAGTGATGCGTAATTTTGCCACATGGTATAATTAATTTAATTATTTATTGTTATTCGATAACTTATCCGATATTTTATTACTTATTCTGCTATTCGGAGCGTAGAAGAATATACAAAAAAGAGATAACTAACATCGGTCCAGCCGATCTTTGGGTTATAAGTAGTGTAACTAATGGGGTATTTACACGGGTCGATTTTCGCCGTGCGAGTCGCTTCACAAATTGCCTCACCAAGCCGCATCGCTAGCCCATTTACACAGGTTACTAAAATCGCATGCGGCTCGGTCATTTCCATCGAAAATGTTGAGCAGAATAGCCGTTTGTGCCGGAATTGAAATAATTAATTATTCAATTATTTAACAATTGCTTAAAGAACAAAGAGAGAAGAAAAAACAAAAGGAAAGAAGAAAACGTAATGTACGAGGATACGAGGATGGATTTCTCGACGTAAGGTCTTGGGTGCTTCGGATGCTTTATTGGTTGAGTGGAGTTTAGAAGATTATTTTAAAAAACGATTAAGAATGACTACTGATCAGTTTAATACTTTACTACATAAGGTTACTCCGCTTATACAAAAATGCAATACCAATATGCGAGAAGCACTTTCTCCGAAAATTAAATTAGAAATAACCCTGAAGTTCTTGGCTAACGGTGATAACTACTCAAGTTAAGAAACACCTTCATGCGGCGGGCGATCGCCTGCAACTGATCGTTTACACGGTCGATTTTAGTCACCAGTCGCATGCGGCCTGTCGCCGCGCGGCCAAAGTCGGATGCTACCCAACTTTGGGGCTTGCGGCTTTAGTCACTTGCGACTTAGCCGAATTGCCATTTAGATGGTCGATTTACGATGCGCGGCAAAAATCGTGCGGCTTTAGTCACCCGTGTAAACCCCCTATAACACGACTTTGTTTTATATATTTAGATAATGTTGTCTTGGAATTCCCCGAAATGATAGCCACAATATCCAAAATGAATGTTTGGGTTCGGGGTTACTTTTGCCGTTCCCTTGACATTCGAGTTATCGTATGTATTATGCAAAAAAAATAAAAGTAAAACATTATCAGTTTGCTGGAAACAAAAGCTGCCGAAATTTGTCTATACTCTGATTTTTCATTCCGTAATATTCTGACATTTCATAAGTGTTGCTAACTTTAATTACTTTATTTTATTCTTTAGCTGGCATCACTGCCTACTAATTCCAGGTTAAGTAAACCTTTTAAAAAATTCAATGTTATCTTTACTTGTGCGTTTTTTACTGTTTGTGATGAAAAGGGACGTAATTATCATAGAACACCGCACTTAATAAAATGGATATATTATCTAACAATAAAATGTATTTATAGACTCAGATGTTCAGACTCGTATTGAAATTAAAAAATGTGCCAAAAAGGTCTCTGACATGTCAAAAAGTGATAGCTGTCAGAATTCTACGGAATTAAAAATCAGAGTATAATGAGAAACACTCAGTGTATATAATTTACCTAAATGCCTTGCTTCAGCTGCGACAAGTGCTCGAAGCCTCTCCGCATCTCCCGGTGAAGGAATAGAGGGCGCTACAGTCGTCGGTTTAGTGCGCAAGCGCCGACGGGCAACCAGTTCATTGAGCAAAAAGTTTGGGAAATAGTGATCTCGTCCCGTCAGCTGGGCTCCACATTTTGGACATCTGAAAATGTTAAAATGAAAAATTCAGTCTCTGACAGTGCTGTGGAACATGTGCTGCTCCAAGCATAATGCTGAGCCAGGGCCAGTAACCACCACAGCATGCACACATTACATACTTAAAATGTAGATTATTCCTTTTTTTCTTTCCATATTAATATATTATTATTTTTTGTGTTTTGTTAGTAATAAATTTTATGTTAAATTTATTTTGATAGTGGATACATTTTCAAATGTACCCTCATTCCTATTATACTGCGGTAGCATGGATATCCATTTGGAATATTATGAGATAAGCTGTAGTATCAACTCTCATTCAATGTTCCTTTTTAAGTTACCGTACCAGACTTAGGTACACACATAAACATAGTTCATTCTATTAAACTAGGCATTAGAAGGTTGAAAAAACGATTCTAATTATTATCATAATTTTTGTTAGTGTGAGGAAATTTATTTTTGTCGTTTTTTTCCACATCCATCCATTACTCAACGCTTACAATTAAAGAGATATCTCAGAGTGCAAGTCTCCAATTATCCACATCGTGAAAGTGTGTAGCTTGCACCTTGCTTACAGCAACATTAAATGTCACATTGCCTTAGAAACTGAATTTGTGACAGTTGCATTGTCTGTATTTGTTTTTTTATATTATAATTAGATGAGTTACATTATTATAGATAATAAATTAAAAATACCAGCAGTTAGGTTGTATCAACCATTTAGCTATACGTCACTAGAGATCTTAAACCTAAGGCCCTTGAATTTTAAGCATACATTGAGACTGAAGTCGGCTAATGTCATTAAGAGCATTCTTATCTTTTGTTTACAATCACGCAGATGGTCAGCAAATCTGTACCTTTTGTTAATAGTTGTTGGCTATGTAGTTTTGTCACGAAGGACCCTTCATTTTATGGTGATATTTGGGCTATTATGTGGATTCATTTGTATCAGATTAACCTACCTCCTGTGTAATTCCACTGACTTTGCAATACAGGCATAACAAAAAGAGTGTCCACAGCGTGTGACATATGCTTCATCAATGAGTTCAAAGCATACTGGGCACAAAAGATCACAATCCTTGTCTTCTAATGACCCACCAAGGCCACCAAGAGCGGACACTGATGTACTGGCACCAGAATTGCTAGCACCTCCAGCTGCAGTACCTGACATTTTCCTGAAAATTAATTATTACTTTTATAAAGACTGTCTAAATACATAAAAAACTGATTCTTATCGATAACAAGCCACATTTAATGGCTCTATAATCTGAAGAAAATTAATTTCTGTGTCCATCCCTCTAATCAATTACATGGCTGAGTAGATAATTTCTAAATAGACTGAAAACACTTCTATTTTTAGATATGTAATTATAGAACTGAATTTAAAAAATGGGTAGAAAGCAGGAGTTTACTTTTGCTATCAATTAGTAAGTACATTTGTGTCAAATTTATTATTATCAAACTGGATAACTGGTGTTTTAAATGTACTTAATTAGATTTCAAGGGAATCGTTTTTAATCTATTGGGGTTTTGTTAATATACGTACTTACAATTTGGTATGAAAGTCAGTGTCGATTCATTTTTGCAATAAAAGCAGAATAAAGTTACTTTAGAACAAAAACCTAAGTTTAAACTAAATATGAATGAGTGGAACAAGCCACCGCCCTTCTTTACTTAAGCTAAGACAGCGTGTAGAATAAAACTGCACAGTCGCGTAAAATGTAAACAACACTGTAGTCTTAAGTTCTCTCAGAAAAACTCATCGCTGAATTATTTATTGCTTCATTTTTGAAGCCAAAGTACGAAATCCCATTTCATTGCCACTGCGATTTAGTTTTCAGAAAATTGGCAATTGACATATGTTTGATAAATTGACATGACGTTTCAATGACATCAATTCATGTAGCAAGAATTGTGTTATCTTTTATCAATAACTGGTTTATACAACGTCAATTTGCAATTAATACTCAGTGTTATACAAAAATTAATAATTGTACTATTCAAGAAAAATTCTAAATAGCTTTATTGTAAAGTTTTACTTAATACATTGACGATAAAAGAAGACTTGTGCCGCCACCTATGATACATTTGTTGAACCACGTGTGAAAATGCTATGTAGGCGATTTCAGAACAGTTTGACCGTGAGCAAACGCCATTTTGGTATACTGTGGTTACATTATCTTTCGTCAACAATGTAAATGTTCTTAGTGAAATGTTTGCTAGTTTTTGCAAGTGTTGCTAATACAAATGAACTATTGTGGGTAATTGAGACGAATCTAGGATTATGGAGGAGTCCAACGAGGACCTCAATGTCGTTCCCGGTGAGTATAGTGCTTCAAAATTAAGCTTGAAAATATGTGTGACATAGAGCAAGGTTGAGTAAAGATGTCTTGCCCGGTTTCAGAACTCTACTTTCTGATAGCGAAATTTCTCTCCGGGGGCCCGCTTAAAGAGACCGCAAAGGTAAAAACGGTAGATTATTTATTTAATTTTGATAATATTTTGTTAATTACAGTAACATTTATCTCGTTTTTTTACAGACTTTGTTAAAAGAGTTGCAGAGTGTTGAGGTAAGTTTAAGCTTCTCGTAGTACTAGAACTAAAGCTTTCAGTTGTTTTGATTGTAAACGCACGTGGCTTGCTTGTCAAACTCGCTGAAACTTTCTGAAATAGTTCTAATGCATTTTTTTTCGAAGCAGGTGCTACCAAGGCGACTCGACTGGGAGGGCAAGGAGCATCCCCTTTCGTATGATGAATTGGTTAGTTTATGTTATATTAACGTAAATCTAGGGTTTATTTACGTTTTTTCAGCGAAATAGCGAAGCGAATTTATTATTTATCGTGAAAATGCTAAAATTTCTTAAGTTGAGTTTTATATGAAAACGATCTTTAAAATACGGTGGAAAATCCTGAAAATCGATATTGTGCCGTTCCAGTTATTATTTTTGTATATTTCCATGTTTTGAAAAAAATTTCATAATCATCCATCCATTTCTTGTGATCGCGTAATACCGTTCGCAATTGTCTCTGTCTCTCGTAGTGGCAAATCTATGAAAGTGGTTTGGCATCTCGCTCATTTGTACGATAAGATTTTTCTTTGCTGTGATAGGTCCAAAACTAACGAATACTCCCGAAGCTTCACGAAGTACAATGACGTTAAAGAGGGCGCTTAGTTTAAAATGTATAAAAAATATATACTTATGTTTGTTAAACATATATAGATAATTTTTAGTTACCTAGCTTATGACATATATAAAGTTCACTTTATCTTTTATTAGCGTCCTGTCCCTTTACAAATTGGAAACTTTTAATATTTTTTTTATTTTTTTTTATTTAATTATATCCTGGGAATATTGTTGCAATCCATTCCACTTTAATTTCATTCTTCCTATCTCCCCCAAGGTATTTATGAAATATCTATAGGTGAAGATTTGTAATTGGTACTGATTTTATTTTATTGTAATCATAATTTACTTTTTGTTAAAATACTGTAAATCTTCCTAAAATTTAATAAATAAATTCCTATTGTTAATATTAAATTGGTTGAATTTTTAAGTTAATTCTATTATATTGATCTGAAGCTTTGTAAATCTACTATTAATAATAATATATTACTTCAACAATTGTCAAGTTATGACTGCATATATTGGTGTAATAAAGAATTTTCTGGTCATTGCAGAACTCACAATATTCTGAAGTGTCATGGCGTCGTTTGGCAGCAGTCTGTGAGAGAGCTCTACGCTTGGCTCGTGCTGCACCACAGATATCTTTAATAGATGGCACAGAAAAGCATCTGAATGCCCGGCTTTCATTACTCAGCGAGTCCCTTGTCAGGCCAAAGTTTAAATATGCATCATTCAAGCAGGACCATAGTTTGGGTAAGCGATATTTAGAAAACAAACTTTATAAACTGAAAGTCTAACGGGACTGAATGGAAATCTCTAATAATTATTTATTGCTTTATTCCGAGTTGTTGTGGTTGGTTTCTGTGCTAGATACAGAATCATCTTATGAATTTATACTAACTTATATTCTGATTTTTCATTCCCTAGAATTCTGACATTTCATAAGTGTTGCTACAAAAAAAGTTCTCCAATGAAAAAGAGACGAATTTGACCCATTTAAGGGGAAATAAAAAATAAAATGCTACTTATTTCTTTATGTTTTACCTACAAAAAGGTAAATCTTACTTAAGTGACCTAATACAAAGATAACAAATATTTCAATATAACAATTTATCGAATTAACTTTAATTACTTGATTTTATTCTTTAGCTGGCATCACTGCCTACCAATTCCAGGTTTAGTAAACCTTTAAAAAAAAATGTCATCTTGTGCGTTTTTTACTGTTAGTGATGAAAGGGAAGTAATTATCACTTGCCGTAAAACCACTTTTAATGTGGAGCACCGCACTTAATAAAACGGATACATTCACTAACAAATAAAATGTATGTATAGACTCAGATGTTCAGACTCGAATTAAAATTGAAAAATGTGCCCAAAAAAAGTTTGTAACCTGTCAGATTTCTACGGAATTAAAAATCAGAGTACAGTATTAATTAATCCTAGTGTTATAATACTATATTTAAAAAAAAAACAATGGCGCTACAACGTTTTTAGGTCTGGGCCTCAGATTTCTGGATTCATGATCATTTTTAAATCTAATAGGCAAGTAGGTGGTCAGCCTCCAGTGCCTGAAACCCCGTCGGTTTCTTCACCATGTTTTCCTTCACTGTTGGAGCGAATGTTAAATGCGCATATAGAAAATCCATTGATGCACAGCCGGGTGATCGAACCTACGACCTCAGAGATGAGAGTCGGACGCTGAAACCACTAGGCCAACACTGCTCTTTATTGAATAGTATATTGATTTGGTGGAATGAAAATCATGAAAGTACACTATTATAAAACAACTAGCTGACCCGGCAAACGTTGTTTAGCCATGTATATTATTTCTAGGAATCATTTATGAGTTCAATCAAAATAACTATCTAATATAATAAAAAATAGGGGTTGATCGAAGAGCGGAGAAAATTAAGGGTTGTATGTATTTTTGTATGCTGTATCATAAAAAACAAAAAGTTATGTTTAAAAAATAAAAATTTAGGGGTGGGACCTACCCTTAACATTTAGGGGGATGAAAAATAGATGTCCGATTCTCAGACTTACTGAATATGCATAAAAAATTTCATAGGAATCGGTCGTGCCGATTCGGAGGAGTAAATATTTCTGCTCCATTATTGACTGCTAAATTAATTAATTTCCAGTACGTCGTCTAATATGCCGAGAACTTGGCGGAGGCCCCAAAGGCCCAGCCAATGGGGCAGGTGTTGGGGCGTCTACGGGACAGCAGGGGCCTTTTCCGGCAAGGCTTCTGCGGAATCTTCAATTGCAGAGGCGGACACTGGGGCATCTCTCGGCTGTGTACTGTCTAGTCTTCGATTGTACGGGGAAATATATTATTACTGTGAGTAAAGAAAAAGTGCGTGCGTACAAAGTACACATGTCACAAGTGAAATTTCTTTGGAAGACTAGTTTTTAAGTCTTGTTCATATTTATACAAATCTAAAACTTTAGATTTCCGAGACGTGAGAGAGGAAATTTAATAAATTTAATTGTCTTGTAAATAATTATTTTTTTTTAAATTTATTTCTTCGAAAGTTAAAACACGTGGCATTTTAAATGACGAATTGTATCATTTGAGATTTCAATAAATTATTTTGCATAAAATTTAAAATACTAAAATTTCATAAATTCTCTTTACGAAATTTTAATTTAAGAAATAGAATTTCTATAAGGTAACTCGCCCTTCTCACTTTCTCTCAATCGCTATCTCCCTTTTCTTCGACTAAAACGCTGCATATCTTCGTGACGTTTCACTTCAATTATCTATATAGTGTTACGAAGACGGGTCGACTACAATGTTTCTAGATTTTTCCACTACTTAGAGAACTTTTCAGCAGGCTGAAATGTGATTTCTGACCGTTTCAGGGGAGGGTCAATCACATATTAGAAAATCGCAATTTACATAATGTTACCCTAGTTTTCAGGAGCCTGAAACATTTTTTCAGGCCGTTTCAGAACAAGTGTAGTCGAATGGTACACTTTTCAGGAAACCCGTTTTCAGGCGTTTTCAGACCTGGTTAAACCCCTTTGATGAAGGAATGTTCTA